TAAAATTCCTTCCATCTTAGTTTTTCGGATTTATTTCATCAAGAATTTTCTATATAATAAGAATTCTTTTGATATCTCTTAATAAAGAAGCTAGTATCCAATATTAAAATGGCGACAACAAATACCGTGTGTGAATTACGAATATAATATATGATTTTTAATTTAGATGAAATATATATTTTGATCTAGATGATAGTAATCATAAATATTTCTACTAGAATTGAAATTAGATATATGAATCCTTTATCTTCATCTCCATATCTAGATAATGATTATAATTCAGATTATAAATGTACGAATTTGTTGAAAAATATGTAACATACCAGTATCTGATCCTTCTCTGGGATCCTCCTGTTCCCTTCCTGGCCCTTATAATCCGCCCCTGGAGCTTTCTGTTGGAACCCCAAACCCTCCACCCTCCCCTTGAAACCCCCCGAACTTGGACCTCTCTCAGGCCCGGTGCGCATGCTCCACCACTCGTTTGGCCAGCCCGGCTGCCGAGGCGGCGCGCGCAAACGTTTGTGTATGTATATATATATATAGTTTGGATTCTTTCTCTCACAATCTCTCTTTTTCTCTCTCTTTTCTTTCCGTGTCTTCTCTGTATTCTCTCTTCTTCTTCTTCTTCTTCATCACGCTCAAGAGGGTCCCCCCAGAGGAGGTCCCCCGGCCACGACGGCCCAGCGGTTCTCTCTCTTTCTCTCTCTCTGTCTATCTCTCTCTCATGCTCTCCATCTCTCCTGCTTGTTCTCGTAATTGTTTCAAGAAAGAACATCCCCCCAGTGCTGCCACAATTATCAAAATTAAAAGAGACTTCGGAGATTGCAGCAAGCATTTCTGGTGCGAGCGCGGCTTCAATTCTCAGGTTTGCTCCACTACTTGTACCAATGCTTTGCATGAAGGCGTCGGAGCATGTTGCGATTGAGATTGCTTCGAAAAAACCACGGCGTGGGCACATTGACTCACTGTTCCTTCTTGGTCTCTGCATTGTGTGCAGGATTCTGCCCAGGATTCTGAAGCTCACCTGCGGCGTCCTTGAGAGCGCCAGACATTGCAGAGAGATCCGCGTTCTTTAGCTCCTGCTTCTTGGAGCGGATCACAGCAACCGTCGATGCCAGCGTCCCTGCAGTTGAGGTGAGCTGGGGAATCAAAGCATCTATGCCGCCGCCTAAAAAAATCGAGGAGCCGATGAGAGTGAAGCCCACAACGGACAGGAATACAAGAATCGCATTGATGTTAATGAGCAGCAGTTGCCCTTTGCTGAGGCCCAACATCACAAGGACGTTCTCCAGATCAAGTGATTCATCCTGACCAATCTCGTCCAAATCGGGTGCCTCCAAATCCAATGTTTCAACCACCCCCGTAACGGCTCTTTTCAAAACTGAATTTGCAACAGCAAAAGCGGACCTTCCACTAGGTTCTCCATCTGCCTGGTTTGAAGCTTGCTCCATCAAGGAACGTACCCCCACGACCAAGCTGCCACCCTGATCGGCAGCGCCACTGACCGCCTGCATTATGGAGGAAGGGTCGATGCCTGCTTGGCCCGATGCTTGCAGCATCTGCATCATGGCAGACGGATCCACACCTGCCTGGCCTGAAGCTTGCTCCATCAAGGAACGTGCCGCCGCCAAGCTGCCACCCTGATCTGCAGAGCCACTGAACGCCTGCATTATGGAGGAAGGGTCGATGCCTGCCTGGCCCGATGCTTGCAGCATCTTCATTATGGCAGACGGATCCACACCTGCCTGGCCTGAAGCTTGCTCCATCAAGGAACGTGCCGCCGCCAAGCTGCCACCCTGATCTGCAGAGCCACTGAACGCCTGCATTATGGAGGAAGGGTCGATGCCTGCTTGGCCCGATGCTTGCAGCATCTTCATTATGGCAGACGGATCCACACCTGCCTGGCCTGAAGCTTGCTCCATCAAGGAACGTGCCGCCGCCAAGCTGCCACCCTGATCTGCAGAGCCACTGAACGCCTGCATTATGGAGGAAGGGTCGATGCCTGCCTGGCCTGATGCTTGCAGCATCTTCATTAGGGCAGACGGATCCACACCTGCCTGGCCTGAAGCTTGCTCCATCAAGGAACGTGCCGCCGCCAAGCTGCCACCCTGATCTGCAGAGCCACTGACCGCCTGCATTATGGAGGAAGGGTCGATGCCTGCTTGGCCCGATGCTTGCAGCATCTGCATCATGGCCGACGGATCCACACCTGCCTGGCCTGAAGCTTGCTCCATCAAGGAACGTGCCGCCGCCAAGCTGCCACCCTGATCTGCAGAGCCACTGACCGCCTGCATTATGGAGGAAGGGTCGATGCCTGCCTGGCCTGATGCTTGCAGCATCTTCATTAGGGCAGACGGATCCACACCTGCCTGGCCTGAAGCTTGCTCCATCAAGGAACGTGCCGCCGCCAAGCTGCCACCCTGATCTGCAGAGCCACTGACCGCCTGCATTATGGAGGAAGGGTCGATGCCTGCTTGGCCCGATGCTTGCAGCATCTTCATTAGGGCAGACGGATCCACACCTGCCTGGCCTGAAGCTTGCTCCATCAAGGAACGTGCCGCCGCCAAGCTGCCACCCTGATCTGCAGAGCCACTGACCGCCTGCAGTATTGAGGAAGGGTCGATGCCTGCTTGGCCCGATGCTTGCAGCATCTGCATCATGGCAGACGGATCCACACCTGCCTGGCCTGAAGCTTGCTCCATCAAGGAACGTGCCGCCGCCAAGCTGCCACCCTGATCTGCAGAGCCACTGACCGCCTGCATTACGGAGGAAGGGTCGATGCCTGCTTGGCCCGATGCTTGCAGCATCTTCATCATGGCAGACGGATCCACACCTGCCTGGCCTGAAGCTTGCTCCATCAAGGAACGTGCCGCCGCCAAGCTGCCACCCTGAACTGCAGAGCCACTGACCGCCTGCATTATGGAGGAAGGGTCGATGCCTGCTTGGCCCGATGCTTGCAGCATCTTCATTATTGCAGACGGATCCACACCTGTCTGGCCTGAAGCTTGCTCCATCAAGGAACGTGCCGCCGCCAAGCTGCCACCCTGATCTGCAGAGCCACTGAACGCCTGCATTATGGAGGAAGGGTCGATGCCTGCTTGGCCCGATGCTTGCAGCATCTTCATTATTGCAGACGGATCCACACCTGTCTGGCCTGAAGCCTGCTCCATCAAGGAACGTGCTGCCGCTAAGCTACCACCCTGATCTGCAGAGCCACTGACCACCTGCATTATGGAGGAAGGGTCGATGCCTGCCTGGCCCGATGCTTGCAGCATCTGCATTATCGCAGACGGATCCACACCTGCCTGACTCGATGTTTGCTCCATCAAGGAGCGTAACCTTGTTTCGTCAAGCTTGCCTAGTGCATCTTTTGCAACTGCTGAAGTGGAGGCTGCAGCCACTGCTGCAGAAATAGCAGATCCACCCAGGGTGCCTAATGCGCCTGCTGCTGTGCCAGAATGTAGCATGGTCTCAGCCTCATCAGAAACTCTGCCCGGCAGATTGTCTGCCACTTGGTCCAGCAGCTTTTGAGCAGAGTTCATGGCATCTTGTGTACTGCGTATGTTCATCAACGTTCCTGCAGCACCTGGATCGGCGGCTATTTTGCCGATCTGATCAGCCGTTGAGTCAATAGCCATCTCAGTGGCCTGTTGCACCTTATTCATGATCAAATCTGCATTGAAGGAATCTGCATTCACGCCCACTCGGGTCAATGCTTCCTTCGCAAAGGGCACCGACTCTAGGGAATCCAGGGCAGAGCCCGCCAGACCTTCCATTTTGTTTCCCACTTGACTACCCACGTCACCGAGAAAATCCTTTGCAGAATCCAGGGCAGTGTTGACATTCTTCGCCAACCACTCAGCTGCCATGACCTTCGCCTGTTCTACAAACTCTTCGAACTTCTGCGTGACCTGCTGGGCCACGATCACGGCTCCCACAACGGCAAGCAGCACAGGAGCGAGGCGCTCAGGCTTCAGAAGCGTTCCCAGCAATATAAAAATGATAACCAAGATGAAGTACGCGCAGAAGAAGAAGAGTGAGACCATGAAGCAAAGGGTCAAAAATGCACTGTAGACCTTGGACGCACGAAACTTCATGGCAACCCTGTAGAAGCGAGGACAGTCGCCAGTCTCCTCAGCCAGGTCGAGTCCATGACGTGTCAAATACTCCAACTGCGTATTGAGGAAGAAGATGGCGTTCATGATGATGGAAGCCATCAGCATGGTGGTTGACAGCGCACGGTGGCGAATATTCAGGCAACCGCCTGTCAGCCATTCATTGAAGTTGCAAATTGCGCGGAGCTCTGCCATGTTGTTGCCATTAAGGATTGCGATCAGCAACGTTGGCGTAACAAGCAACTGCATAACAATGAAGTGCCCGACACAAATCATGAATACGTTCTGCACTGTAATCTTTGCTTTTCCTGAGGGCGATCGAAGAATCAGACACCGCGCCAGCGTCAACAGAAGGTTGCACTTGTCCTCCAAACGGTACAGGCATTTCAGCTCGCTGCCGAGCGAAGCATGCGGCGAAGTTCTGCATTTAAGATATCTCCGCTTCTGCATCTTGTACAAGGTGATGACCAGGACGCAGGCCAAGATACCTGCATGCACGGCTACGTTTTTGAGCATGCCTGACATGTGTTACACGGCGATAGGGTGCTGGAAGCCCAGGGCAGGGTTCAACATGACTCACAATGCAAGTAGGCGTGCGTATACAGCCCCCCTCCCATGACACGCACCTGTCGTGGCTGCCATGGAAGGGGTGGGTCAATAGTCGACGAATCCAATAGTCTACAGTCTGAAAGTCCAAAAGTCCAATTTTCTCCAACAGTCCAAAAGTCCAAAAGTCTCCGGCCAACATGTCCAAAAGTCCAAAAGTCCAGAAAACATGGACTTTGGACTTTGGACATGACTTGCAGGCCTGTGGATTTTGGACGGACTTCCGGACTCTTTTTGGACTTTCGGCTTGAGAATCTTGGACTTTTGGACTTTGGGACGTTTAGGCTTGTGGTTTGTTATGCTGAATCCACAACATCTTATCTCAAGCTAAGCTTCCCGGCGAGCAAAACATGGCATGTCATATGTTTTACCTATGTTGTGCTTCGTACGAAAAATCTTCACTCAAACAATCACGCCCATCTCCCCCCCCCCCCCCCCGACCCGCCGATAAGCAAAACTTAAAACTTGAGTTATTTCGGTCACATTTCCTCAAATCGATTATCTTAGATCCGGGCATAGGCAGCGCGGAACTTGACAAGAATAGCATTGCGCGGAACTTGACAAGAATAGCATTGAATACAGATTATAGTGGTTATACGGTGATGCCCCTGATGCTTGTTTGAGGTGTGTTTTATCCAATATACTGTCTTGGGAATCCCTCCGAATGTGCAGCGCAGATCCTGACAAGTTGTCTTGGGTTTTGAAGTAATGTAAAGATTTTCTTGTTCAAAAAACATAAATAGCTAATCAGCTGACAATAAATGGTATAACTATCCTCGTTAGTTAAATAGTTAGTATAAGCAATACAAATGGTACACAATGAATACATCCGATCTAACAAATACAATGAACAAAACGCGTATAACAAATATACATGTTAAATTGAGTATGCTACGAATATACTAAGCACTAGAATGAATGCAGGGAATGAGCCTATTGGATACAGTGGCTATACTGAATATAAGGAACATAATACAATGAGCTTAATGCCTTGCATTGATTTCAATGGGTTTATTATCATATTCATTCGATTATCGATCTTTAAAGTCTGCTACTTGCATCAGACTCATCATTTCTATCAGGTTTATCTCTTGTATACCACTCTGCTCGCAACATCGACTACGTTACTGGTATAACTTATATGAACACATAGGGTCATAAGGTTAAAATGAATACTGGTTACAGTGCCTATACGGTGAATATCATGAACGTACTGTAATGGGCTTAGATAATGCCTTGTGTGCATGCCAATGGTTACGTTAGCAACACTCTCACATTTCTTCAGCAATATAGATTGTTTTCGAAGTCTTAGATATATTCAGTTGTTTGGCTGCAGTTCTAGTTGAAAAAAGTTATGTGAAGAAAATGCCTCGTGTTTAAATCATAAGAAAAGGTTCCATCAAACAGTTCTCCTTGAGCCAGACAAGAAGAACGGTCGACTACTTTTCCTATTTGGTATATATGACATACAGTTCAGAACCAGGAACTAAAGCGCGCACACACAAGGGCACATAAAGACACTGCTAGTTTTAGCTTACGGCGTGGTTAGCGACCCCGCAGGTTTTGTATGCTTTCGGGTTTTCCAGTCTGTTTCTGATGTTTGGGGGGTGGGGGGGGTGGTAGCGTATAGACAAGATTCACGCAAGCCCAAAAAACCAAGCAGTCTGGGGGGGGGGGGGGGTTGGGGGGGGTTGGGGGGGGTTTGGGGGGGTTTGGGGGGGGTTTTGGGGGGGTGGGGATTTGTGGGGGGGGGGGAGTTGTGGGGGGGGGGGGATTTGTGGGGGGGGGGGATTTGTGGGGGGGGGGGGGGGGTTTGGGGGTTGGGGGGGGTTTGGGGGGGTTGTTTTGGGGGGGTTTGGGGGGGTTTGGGGGGGGTTTGGGGGGGTTTTTGGGGGGGTGGGGGGGTGGGGGGGTGGGGGGGTTTGGGGGGGGGGGGGTTGGGGGGGGGGGGGTTTGGGGGGGGGGGGGGTTTGGGGCGGGGGGGGGGTTTCGAAACAAACCACGCAAGCCCAAAACCCTCAATCCAAATTCTCATCCCGAATAGACATCACGCAAGCCCAAAACCTTCAGCCCAAAACTCTAAACCTCATCCCCAAAAAACGATCCTACACAGAGCAAGTACACTGAACATGAATAATTCGCTGTAAGTACCAGAATTGCCACACAAGTACGTAAACTTCTCCAACCTCTCGGAATCTGCAAATTCGCCGTGAATACCAGCATTTCCGAAAACTAACTTCTGAAATGATGCGACTGCCGAGAGTCGAGTAGACACACGAAAACACTGCTATTTACAGTCAATTCGGCCGAAAACATCTCGCCTGTCGATTAAGCTGCGGTTGCCGGACATGCACTCCGAAGCAACCACGCACAGAAACATCGAAAAAACCGAGGTTTTTCACTTCACACCCCAAAAAAGTTAAATTTTCGGCGGGGTCGTTAACAACGCCGTAACCTAGTTTTACAATGGCTTGACTACTCTCGAAAATCGATTATCGGGAAAAGTCGATTTTAACGCGCTTGCCGAGGTCTTAAGGACAAGGCGCGTGTCATGGGGGGGTGACCATCACCGCATCATTTCCACCTTTCAACTTTTCAACCTGTAATCATAACTTTCCAAATCTCCATTTCCTCAGTCCAACTTTCCAAATTTCGATTGTGGACATGTGCATATTTCTAAAACGCGGAGATGCGGAAATTATATGTTGAACACCTGGAACGTTCTGGAAAACATCAAGGGTGGGCAAGTGGAAAAGGTGGAAAGCTCCAGAATGAACACGTGGTCCACAAGTAAAATCGCGGCGGAGTGCTCGTACAATTACTATCCTTTCGCCTTGTGGAAACGGCAAGATATCTGCCTGCCCCCCCCCCTCCAAGCGAATGATTCCGTGGATCAGTTCGGGATCCATCTTGAAATTCTTGCGCGTCTTGAGTTTCAATACAGGATGCAAATCGAAGGGCGGCCGAAGAGTTTTTCAAGACTCTTCAACCTTCAATCTTCACTCTTCGGTTTCCCATCTTGAAACTCAAGATGCTCAAGTTGTCAAGACGGGGAATCGAAGACATGACACAAGAGTTCGGGACTCTTCAATTTGTCCAGAGCACATGTGACAAGACCCCAAAATCATGCGTCATCTGTATATTACACAAACAATCTGCTCACATTGAGACTTAGGGTTGAGACTTGTGGGGCGTGCTTTCGGGTCCCAAGTCCCAAGGTGCCCCCAGTCAGGGCCAGGATGATCATCACCACGACAAAGAGCATCCCCCAGAGGCCGCGCAGCTCCTCGGGTCCATGGACCTCCTTCACAAAGGCGCTGGTGGATGGAGACATGATGTCCACCGATTGGTCAGCTATCGCCGGAAAGAGGTTCTTGCCGCGGTCGAACTTGTGCTCAACGTAGTAGATCCTGCCATTTCGGCTATTGCTCAAATTTAAGCCGTCAGGGAGGCTGTTTCGCCAGGCCAGGGTGCATCGCTCTAGGACTTGATGGTGCAACAACACCTCCGTGGAGTTCTTCGGGCGGCCTGAGTTGAACTGAGTTGCCAGCTACCAGATGCTGAACTAATTCGCAGGATGTAGGGATTTTATGACTATAGTACTTTCAAAAGGACACCGCATACCACCATGACCTTAGTATGAACCGTAACTCATATCACCGCGATCAGACCATCAGGAAAGTGGTCATACAGCTTCGTTTCCAACATCCTTCAGCCAAGGCACAATTTGGTGCACCAACTGTGAGCCTATCATGATTGCTCAGACAAAGCGAATCTTTCACCAGAAAGACCCCACGCTTCGTGCGAGGGGAGAATATTCCCATGGTAAAGATGTTCCAGAGACCAACTGGAAACCACATTAGAGCGTCACCGAACACGGAGAAGATCCAAAAGCCTTCCGCGGTCATAGACTGGATCTCGGACCCTAAAGAAGGTCCCATCAAGAACAGATGCATCATTTCTGCACGCTCTTCTGCCACGTCCGCCCATGGATCGAAACCTTTATCCAGATGGGTCCTCAGCTTCACAACAGAATCGAATGTGTTGGCACAATGCCTCTGGCTTCGCCACACCCCATGCGCAAGGTAGAGGCGACTCAAAGCACTCCCGCGGGTGATGTTTACGATGCGCGCATCTGTGGATGGACCCAAGGTGAAGGTGTAATCATAGGCGTCCATGTTGGCAGCCTGCAATGCTGGCTGTGCCGTCCAGTCCGAGAGGCACAGCCCAGCGCTAGCGTTTTGACCATCGCCAGTTTGCAGATTCACATGCATGCCACGATGATACGTGTCTTGCCACAGGTACACGTCAACTTCTCCACCAAATACGAAATTAGCATTCTGAAAGTCCACCTCGTACAGAAAGACCAGCCCGCTGTCCAACTGTATTGAGAAACTTTCATAAACACCGCCGTATATCTGGAGAATTCCGGCCTGCCCTGATGCGGAGAAATCACTGGCCAAACCCAGAGAGGCATCACTCAAATCACTAAAATTGGCACGAAACAAGCTCTTGCCGTCATCAGGTTCGAAGATTACCTCGAGCCGTTCAAAGTTAGTGTCACGGCCTACCTCAACCACAACGGTGACTGTTTCCCCGCTTAAGGAAGCAGGACCCGAACAAGTGACAGAGAGTACGCCAAGCGTTTCATTGAATTCTGTGTGCAGCATAGGCCTTCCGTCTTGATACATGGTTGTCTCAGAAAGGGTTACAGAGCTCCCATCGGTTGTCGTCATGTGCATGGCGCAATCTTTCAGCCAGACCAACATCGTGGTGCTGTGCAGGTTCGTGATCTCAATCCGTGGCAACTCCAGGGTGGCCTGCACCCTGCTGAACAGCAAAGCCGCCACAACGAAAGATGTGCCATAGAGCAGACAAGCGAGGCACAACTTCAATCTGAGAGCTGCCGGAGGATTGAGGTGCTTCTTGGCAATATGCCTTGCAGAGGCAAAGGTGCGGGCTTGAAGCCCATCCAGAATCTTTTTGCCCGTATTTGCATTCATAAGCACGGGCCCAGGCTACCAGTCGTCTACCCGATGCTCGGATTCTGCGAAGATCGTTTATGCGTTAATGGCGCTGTGGGTTTTGCGATGGTTTTATGTGATTGGTGGGTACTCTACACATTCACCCCCTCGGTCATTTCAGGCTACGCTACGAAGATCTGCGAATGCCAAGCAGGAAGAGAGGCGGGAAATGAATGTTCATGCCATGCATGTTTGCTGTCGACCCGAACTCTTTTTCAATGCTCGGGTGCAGGCGCTTAGAAAAACTACTAGTTACTAGGCCTAGCTCAGCCGGGGGGGGGGGGGGCTCCGACGTGCTGTTGCAATGAAGAAGCACGCAGAGTCTGAGTGCATTGATCTCAGACATGTTTTTCCATCCGCAATTGAATGAGTTCTGCCCCGTAGGCGCTCTAGTTCTAGCTTCGGAAGCCGCTTTCAAGATCGCGCTATAACATGCAGCTGCGTTTGCAGCCAGCGTGATGCTTGCAAAGCAGCAAACGCGTTGTTCACGCATGCCATTGCATTCCCAACTCTCGAAGGTCCAAATCCCCAGTTGCAGAGAACGTCTTGGAGGGCTGTAGCAAGTGTTTCATGAAGGGCATATGATGGTAAACGGATGTAAACGGTGAACCTTGCTGGCAGCTCAAGGCGGTCGAGAACGTATCAGAATGTAACAGGATACGATGACACGGCTCCAAGGGCCGGTGCGACATGTCTCGACTGCGCTTTCCTCTGAATTATGATCTTAAGACTATTTGTGGAGAGCGTGTGCGCAATGTGCACAATGCGCAGTCTCCCGCAGCCTGACCGCGTTCAGCATCGTTCAGCAAAGTCATGCGACGTAGGTCGACATTTCCAACGCGGGCAGGCCATCAAGCCGACGCTTCTGACGCTTTTGACAAAAGAATAGTTGCACACTGCACAGCGTGTGCAGCACCCATAGCTCCATTGCTCAGGAGCCATGCTTCAGAAGTTCACCTCAGGCAAAACGCCAATCAACATTATTAGTTGTAGGCAAAAGCACTTCTTTTCATTCCTAGCTGCTCCCGAGGGTTCTACAGGCCGCATGGGGCGCGCACGACCAGCCGAGATTCAAAGAACTGCCGCCACCTGGAGGCCTCGACAGTGCTGAGAGGTGCTCAAACGCACAGTGCTGCACAAAGCTGCACAATACTGCACAATACTGCACAATGCTGTGCTGCCACTCGCCTATCACCGCGTTTGCTTCTGCTTTCAATCGATGAACGGAACATATGTTTCAATATCGTTCAATGTCAATCGTGTTTGCAGACCTCCTTGCTTCTCCCTGCCACAGCCTCAGGACTCGTGTAGTAGGGGTGTCGGACAACACGTTGCCACAGTTCCTCAGTAGTCTCTGTGACTACCCTGATGGTCAAAACAAGAAAGACATCTCGAGCCCCGGCTGATCTGCGCCATTTGCATACGAGTTTGAGGAGACACGCACCCGTTGCCCAAAGGCCTCGCACGTTGACATCAAGTGAAGGCCGTCCTTTCGGACGCCTAGTATGCCGGCGCACTTGCTAGGAATCAGTACCAACCAGTCAAAGGATGTACTGGTTTCATTCATGCACGGGGTTGACCGAACGGGTGATGGACACAAGATGACGGACTTGTGTAGACATGCGAGAAATCACAGAACCGTCCTCATGAGCATCCTGGGGGGCGGCCTTGGATCTCAAGCCGAACGAGAGTTTTACAAAATGCCACGAAACCGGAGAAACATCTGAGACACTGGGGACCAGTGCTCGTCGAGCTCCTGCTGGTGGCATAGTCGCGGCCTGGGTCCCCTACAGTAGCCTCTTGATTCTTTAGTGATCCCTTTGTGGGACTTGAGGTTTCAACTGAACCCCAGGTTCCCAGTTCGCCACTCCTCCCGCCCATTCCCGACCCCCAACCCCCCTTTAGAATCCTCAACAAGCAAAACCCACACCAACGCGGGGAGGAGGAGAAGGCAGGTTGTGCGCCCTCATCAATCAGATGCATACATATCATTTAGACCGATTACATGTATACGTACACACACACACACATATATATATATATATATATATGTATGGTTCCGTGTCCCGTGTCGGTACCCCCCCCCCCCCCCCCCCCCCCCATGGTATCCCCCCCCCCCAACCCCCCCACCCCCCCTAAACCCTAAACCCTAAACCCTAGACTCTAAACCCCAAACCCTAAACCCTAAACCCAAAACCCAAAACCCCTAAACCCCTAAACCCCTAAACCCTAAGCCCTCAACCCAAACCCCAACCACATCACCCCACAGGAGGGCCCAAACCACAGGGGGGCGGGGCGGGGACCCTAAACCCTAAACCCTAAACCCTAAACCCTCAACCCTTAACCCTAAACCCTAAACCCTAAACGAACCCAAACCCGGGGGCCCAAACCACAGGGGTGCGGGGCGGGGACAGAATTTGGGGGGGGGGGGGGGGGGGGGCATGGGGGGGTACCATGGGGTGGGGGGGGGTGGGGGGGCAGCGACGCTGCACCATATATATATATATATATATATGTACATATATACAGCCATGGACCCCACCCCACCGTCCGCTGCATCCGAGGTCTACATCTAGGCTTTTTCAGAGCAGACTTGTTGGAACTTGCTAGGGATCCAGCGCTATTCCCTTTGGAGCCTTGGCCCAAGCGCAAGAGAGCTCTGCAACTGCTTGTCGCACTGCTTGTAAAGACCGTCAAAAGCAGCAAAGCTTTTGCTAACAACCAAAAAGGTGTTTCTTGGATCATGGGCCGGTGTCCCATGCCAGGCTCATCTCAGAAGCGCCTCCTGGTGGCCTGGCAAAGAAGACAAAACTGGTTTTTTCAGAATGGTGCGCGGTCACTGCATGGTCGTGTCGAAGAGAAGCTCGCCAGCACAAGTCTGCCTCAACACCCGCGTTGTGGGAACCTCGTTGAACATCGATGCTCACTCCGCAAGTGTCTCTGCACACTGGTTCCATGGGAGAGCACAGCACTTTGAGGCAATGCCTCCATGCGTGCAGAGAACATGCCAGCAACTTGAGCAACGATTGTGCAACTCAGAGAGTGAACAACAAAACTACGATGGTGCCAGTTTAAGCTGAGGCAAGAGCACCCGTCAGAACATTCCCGGTGTTCTGGCTGTTGCCAGATGCGTAGCTGTTGGAACTGCCCCAGATTCGAAGTCAAAACCGAGCTCAAGGGTTACCCGACAAAACTGTCGCGTCTGTAACTATCACATCAGGCCTCTCACGCGGACGTGTCCCGTATGCCTTCGATCAGAACCCGAAAACACTTCAAGCTCCAAGAGTATCCAAGAGTCTCAGGGTTCTCAGTCTCTTCTCAGTCTTTGTCTGCTCGGTCCGTGGCCAGGTCCTCCGGGGACCTTTCAGGCAACAGAGCTTGCTGGAAAATGGCGGCATCGCACTTCAGATTGCAAGCCGAGGCGCCGATGATCTCGGCGCAGGGCTTCACCAGCCGGCCGGGCCTTCATCCAGATTCAACGATTCAACATGATTCAACGAGGAGTCGAGTAAAAGCCGGCTGGCAGGGCCTGAGCCCGTGATGCATCCTCCGCGGGCGGCCTGCCTGACAAGGCGACCCAGCAGCTTCGGTCTCAGCTTCGATGTTCGCCCTGTAACCATTGCTTCAAGACAGGCCTGCAGGTCGAGCAGCTGGCCTGCAGGTGCAGTACAAAAATTGCAGAGCCTGGGCACTGACACGAGACCATGTGTGAGCTGACAGGGCCTGTCGTCCCAACCGAGACAAATCGAGGATTTGCCTCCGGGTGGCGCAGCAACACCTCCAACAATGAACGGAGGCTTTGGCTCGGTCCTGTGGAACATGCAGCTGCTTATGTGAATTTACACATGTTCGTTCGCTCATTCGTTTGTTTGTGCTGTGTTTCTTCCATCGCAGGTTGCTCCAAAACAGACTAATGGACACTCCGTCAGGACACCATGCGTTTCCACATTTGTTGAGAAGTTGTTCCCGGCTTTGCCTTCACCCCCTCTGAATGGAGGGACCCAGAAAAACTGTTTTAGATAAGCAACTTTCCTATTTTGAACAAAAAACGGATGAAACACGGCTTGGTTGGTGTTGTGAGGCTTGGGGCAGAAGGGGGGGGGGGGGAGAGAAGCCCCGAGCTTGCAGACTCAAAAAGGGTGCAAGCGAAACAACGCTTGTGTGACGGGCTCGGAAGGATGCTGGGGTATTTTCAGCAAGTCCTTTCAACGGCATGATGTTCTTAAAAGCGAGCTTGCCTGGCTCAAAAAGGCGGGTGTCCTCGCTTCCTTCCGCTTCTTGCCTCCCGCCTTCCTTCCTTCCCTTCCTTCCCTTCCTTCCTCCATTCTACCTTCGGAAGTAATGTACTTGTTGGAGGCGGAAAAGTTGTTGTTGATACTGAAGACTTTTCTTGCAATGACCCGAAGAAGTGATCGTTTACACCCAATCCCCTCCGAAAACTCCAAGCAGCAACCAACAAACCTGAAAGGTTGTTCTCATTGATTCCCTCGCATGTGTGCCACTTCTGTGCTTGTCAACTCTACCCTTCAGCCATGAAGACAATCCATTTTCGAATGTAGGGGCGGACGTGTGCTGGGGATGTCGGAGATGACGTTTCCGCAGTTCTGATTGGAGCCGTTCCTGAGGGATGCACGCAAAGCAGCCTTACACGCACGAGTCGCCATCCTCTCTGCTTAGCTCATCGCGCATAGGAATTCGAGGTCACGCGAGCAGGACCTTACCAGCATGAATGAGCTACCAAAAGCTGGAAAGCGAGGAGTCATGCTTCGCTCTAAGTCCAGGGCGGCCCCCATACGTAGAATCTCTGTTGTCGAGCATCATGCTGGCAGCGCAGGAACCCGCTGCCCGCTGCAAAACCAAGGCGGCTCCGGCTAACGCTCACATATCATATCTGGCCAGCCCCACCTTTCCACAAGGTTCAAGCATTCACAATTTGGTCAATTCACATGCAGCGTGTTCGCTACCCAAGAATTCTTCCCCAATTTTGCTACTCCAGTTTAGGGTCAGGATTCAGGCGAAAAGCGGCAACACTTTGGGGTGTTATTGGCCTCCTTCCCTCATGGGCCTGACTTCGCACGTGGATCCACAAGCTTTGCGCAGCACCATGCCGTGACAGAGCCCTCTGCGCTTGGCATTTTACCGGAGATCTTAGAAGCAGAATGGAGATACAATGGAAGTGACGACATTTGCATTCATTTGCATGAATTAAGCTGCAAGGGAAATTCGGATGCCTTTCTCAGACCGACCCAGGAGCGCACTGTCACAGCATTGGCAGCCCCACACGGGTCACGAGTCCGAGACGCCAAAAAACGACTGTTCAAAAAACAACGCTAATAGCTGGGGTCAAGGGAGCTTCGGCGACTTCTGCAAGTCAGAAATCCACCTGATCCGGCTTTTGGTTCGCAGCAAGACTTTACAGTTCAAACATCAACGTCAACTTGCCGAGATTGGTGGTGAACGCCCTCTCCCCCACGGGGCCTGAAGGGAGGGCACCTCCACAGCCAGGGAATTCTTTATTCCTTACCAGCAAGAGGCTGCCCTCGGCTCTGCACAACACCTTGCCACCTTGCCGGATACATCCTTGCGCAACCTCACAAGTCGAAACCCGATTGACAAGATCTCCAAGTTTCAGGCTGGGACGGAGCTTCTCTTTTGGCAAACACCTGCAGCTGCAGTTTCGTTGGCAAGCTCAGCAGATTAGCTGGCTTTTGCCATCAACAGACCGGCCTCTCGAGAACCTCCTCGAAAAGAGCCACAGTCTCACAGGTAGCCAACGCTGCCCACATTAGATGCTGCGCTTGTATCAAACCATACCTTTCTGGCCGCTCGCTACTTGCGGGGGATCGGGCCTTCCGGTTGACCTTGCTGAAGTCATGTCTCAGGGACTTGAGACTCCTCGGCACCGGTGCAGGCATGTTCGAGCAACTTCAAACGAACGAAACACAGCTGACGATTGTGTGGTTGAAAGATACTAGTAGCAGAACAACCAGAACTGATGGACTGTCCACTGCGAAAATGTTCTGTGCTGCACCGTGCAGTATTGCTGGGAGGGGGGGGGGGGGCAGTGTTAGGGCTGACTCATTCAACCCACCCGCCCCCCGCCCCCACAAGCCACAAGTTTGGTCTTCGGCACTGCGACGCTTCTTGAGCGCGGCGTTTTTCGGGCTTAGTTTTGGCGTACTTCTGTGTCTAGGGTTCAGGTTGGGCTCTCGCAGGGTTTTGGCTAGGCATTGGGCTTTGCCGCGTTTATTTGTTGATTTGCTTTCCAAAGGGCTTTGTTTTTGTTTTTTTAAAACTCGATTTGGCCAGGTGTGGTGGCCATGCACACCGTCACACCAAGTTTGGAGTTCTGGTGTGGGCACTATGGACACCTAGAGCCCACAAAGCACGCGAGGTCGGCTGGTGGCCCGCACCATCTTGAAACCTAGCCTTGCACATGGCCAGAACGCGTATGGCTTCAAATTCGGTCGGTATGTATGGACATCACCTTGGAACGAAAAAGGTGGCTGTTAGCTCATTTTGGTGTTTTTGCGTACCCGCGCAACGTTGTGCCTTCAAGCCTCATTTATGCCACATCATTATTTTATGGATGTCCAATGTGGCCCGCCTGACCCAAGAAACCTTGAGTTGGTATCTGTCCTTTGAAGTTGTTCTGTGCCATTCTACCCTGCAAGCATGCGCAACGCGCGAGAACAACTCATGATCCAGTTCTCACACTTTGCTTTGAACTGGCTTGCTTTTTGCAACTATAGCTAAGCTCGCCGGCTTGCTTTTTGCAACTATAGCTAAGCTCGCCGGCGTTAGAAGTTCATCATCCTCTGGGACATCTTGACCTGTCTGCAAGCGAGTGGGGCGGCAGAATGCGTAGCTGCATGCAAAGGTTCCGACTTCTTGATATGTCTGAGTCGGAGCTGGTTGCGCAGCTGCTTTTTGATGATGGGCTCCTTTTTCAGAATGACTCTCTTCGGATGCTTTTTCCAAATGCCAGTCATCCTGGAGCATCGCGTGCTGTGCTCATCATCCAAGCAGTTGTCATCTTGGCCACGAAGGCCTTGTTGGCAGGAACATCGACATCATCAACTGACAGATCAGGAAGAAGTAGGGACAGGTCGAGGTCAAGGCACATGCGGCGGCCCGTCGTCAAGATATGGTTTGCTGCTCTGTCGGCACTGCACATTATAGCTGGCACTTCGCGCCAAGCACTCTAAGCAGCGTGCGAAGGCTGAGCTCCAGCAAGCGCCCTTTGTTTGCGTCCTCCCCACTCCAGCGCACAGCCAATAGTATTGAGCTTTTGGGGTGTTCAGAACTCGTTTGAGGGCAGCAGCTGCAGTCCACGTGCGCTTGGAGCTTTGTAAGCTCCTTTTTTAGCCAGGAAGGGCCTGGCCAAGCACAAGGACTCCGTGAAAAGCTCAAGACTTTATTGCAGGATGCATGTGTTGACATGTGCTGAGGTGACTCTCCGATATCGGACGTGCCTTGAGCATTCTTTCGGAACTCGATATTGGACACCTTTGACCACCTAGCCTGTTGACATCTCACATCATCTCATGCAGCACTCTCCCATCAGGAGCCCCAAACCGCCCAGCCTCTCGCTCCACTTCCTTGCTTCCTGCCACTGTCAGATTGACATGTGGTTTGCCATGCTTGAGGGTTTTTGAGATCTTTTGAGGCACCAGCCCGCATTTTCCCGCACCTTGCTCTCCTTGAATGATCGGGGCAGCCGAAGACAAGAAATCATCATTACCAATCAACACCCTTGTCGACTGCAGCCCTTTGCACTGGGGAGTGTCTGAATGGCATGAAAAGATAGCCGGGTTTGATCTCAAGGTGCTTGGATGCAACTTTGGAAGAGAAACTCGTTGCAATGACGTCATGACATTGAGCCTGATACCCAGAATGACCGCATGGTCGCAACCGTCTTCATCGTCGGGGCCAGCGGATCAGGTCCTAGAAAGAAGATCGAGTTTCTGGAAGCCATCCAACATGCTGTCAGGACCGTAACCGTAACCAAGAGTCTACGTGGGCACATCGTCACGCACGTCAGAAACTACGAGGCCACACAAGAAGCCGTTGAAGAGTATGCGAACCATCTCCAGACTATCTCCAGCAAGCGGCTGCACTGATGTTTCAATTAAGTTGGCTTAGCTCCAAGGTCCAAGCCTGTGCCGTAGGGATTCACCTCTAGCCCAAAAAAAACTCGGATGCGAATGCATGATCCAGGTGCCAGCATTTCCGAGCTTCCCACATCAAACCTCCTCGGCGTTGGAACCAAGTACTCCGGCGGAGCTTCATTTTCATCGTTGCTGTCGTCCTCCTTCTGGGCATCTGTCACTTCTCGGACCGAGTCCCGCCCACACCAGAAGCGAAGAGGAACAGCTACCGTAAGGCCATTCAAGCATACGTTGGCTTCGGGCTCAGAAGCTAGGTCAAGGCATGAAGGCATGCAGGCCAGCACATATTTGTAGGACCAGACATGACTCGCGAGCTCGTCATAACATGCAGGGGTAATTTTGAAGCAGCTGCTACGGTTCGTGAGATGTCCAAATGTCTCGACCATGGCGGTACATGACCTCCAAATCATTACTGCATGCTGCTAGTCCATGATCCACTTTTGCCGTGTTGAAGGTTTCTATTTTGGTTTCTGTCGGCGACTGTGAGATGTGACCGCGTCTCACGAACCAGCGTCGAACTACGAACACCCGCACATCTTCGAATTGGCGTCTTGATAGCAGTGACCCCATGGCACTTAGTGCACAGGGACTGAGCTACGATGCTTAGTGCGAGCACATTCTGTAATTTAGCGTCACACACACACACACACACTACTCTGGTTGAAGAACCTCGAAAGATCCACTTGATCTCGTTTTCTGAGTACTGTGCAAACTTGTTCACCCGGAGCTGCGCATGCTGTGCTCGCTGCACCCACCTGAAGTGCGCATCGAATTCATCGGATGCCCTCCAAAAAAACCGCCCCTAACAACAAAGGCGCAAAGGTGAGACGATAGCGGCATCTGTTGTGGCTTGCCGTCGACAGTCTGAAGCATAACGTGGCAACATGTCGCAACAGATCGGGTGCCCGCTGCGTGGGGTTGCTTGCAATGGCTATCGAACAGCCGCGCGTAGTCCATCAAGTCAGCCTGGCCTCGCCCGTCTCCTCCTTCGCAGAGCGAAAACCGACAGGGGGGGGGGGGGGGGGGGAAACTGTTCCGCAAACGCTCTTTCTAACTGCATGATGGCAATTGGCAACCCTAAATTTAAAAGATCTTCAACAGGATGGCCAAAAAGAATTATCTCTAAAAGCTTTGAGGTCCGTTTAAGGCCCTAAAAGGGGTCCTATAAACCCGGAAGCAAAAGATCTCAAAAAACTGCTGCATCCCGCTTTGAGGAGGCCCCCACCCGCCTTGCTTGTCTTGCTGGCCTCAGTAGAGAGCTCCCCTGCTGAGCCCTGGTGTGCCAGGTCCTGCCCGCTAGCATTCGGCGAGGCGCGACTCAACTGGCTGTTCCCTGCAGATGCCCCTTGCCTGCTGCACCTGGCCCCGAGGATCATTCGGTGATCGAGGGGACTCCTCCGGCGCGACCTGCGCCGACGAGACATGTCGGCAGACGCGACTCTGGACGTCTGGACTTACAAACACACGTGGGCACTGCGCGGGCTGATTGTGCGCCATCACTCCATGGAGTGGGCAGAGAAACAAGGCCACAATCGAGTCTCAGACGGACTATCCTTAAGGGAATAGGAGGTTGACAGCATGTCTTCCAGCTTGCCGTGTACGCCTTGTGCAGCTTGACCTGCTCGAGATCATCCGACGGGACGGCGGAGGGATGATCTGCCAGAGCATCCACGCTCCTTGCTTGAGCACACAATCACCACAAGAAGAAGCAGAAGAAGAAGACTTATTGCGCATCCAAAGTTCATGCGTGAGCTGCTCTCAGATGGCAGGTCATCCTGCAAGCGAGCAGAGCAGCGGTTTCTGGAAGCGCTGATCAGGCGTCTTCATGGCCATGATAGTGCTCAAGGCGAAACCAGCCTCTGGCCAGTATCCCTGGCAGAAGGCAACCATGCATTTTGCAGCGGCAAAATGCTGTGGAAGGCTTTGATTTGAACAAGACACTCACAGACCGGAACAATATTCCAGCAAAAGAGCTTGATCTGATCCGGCCTCTGATGCTAGCACTTTGGAGTCCGAGTTGCCCTCGGAGAGCTGCGACCTGGGAGTTCAATTTTATGTTCGTGGATGTCTTCACGTCGTGTGTGGGGGGGGGGGCGCCCCGAAACAAACCCTTTGATAAAAAGCCGCACAACCCTTAACGGCGTCATTCACACCATCTGCAGCTTCCGCGACACCATTGCTGTGTACAACACCGCACATGCTTCAAGCAGCGTCCCGTGCATGCTAGCCCGAGACAGCGTTCCCGCAAAAGGTGGAGGGTTGTTGCCGCACATGTCAGCAACTCTAAACCGATGGACGAGGGACATGGAAGCTTTCCGGTCAATGTCGACACTTGAAAATTTGAAAAAAAGCAAGAAAATCCAGAAGCTAAAGAACTTCCTCCCAAAACTACAAACAGTGAGTAGGGATCGCCCTGGCAGAAGCAGAAGGGGGGGGGGGGGGGGGGGGGGGGGGGAGTGGGTGCAACGGACCCTCTTGAGTTTCACGCGAAGGAGCCTTAAGCGCTGTTTCGAGGACCACAGCGCCACCGCACGAAGAGGGCCACAAGATCACCGGAATCAGAGGACTAACAGAGAGGAGAATCAAACCAGGAGAGCTGTGACAGGACCGACAGACCACCCCCCACGAACGTACCCAACAAATCGGCGTAGTCTGCGTGTCGAATGAGCAAAGGAAGAGGCCACACATCCTTAAGCCACCACACCTGTTCCACGACACGGTTCAAATCAGAACATAATGTTGACATAGCCGCAAAGCACAGGTACTCAGTGCAGCCACGGTGCCCTGATCTCTTCAGCTGTTCTTTCCGTGTTTGTCTCATCGGCCCACCTTGGAAATAAGCTACTGCGAAATCCAAGAATCCCGCCACTCTACCCAACATCACTGAACGCAAGGGCAAACATCGACGTTTGCCATATGCCGAAACAAACTCGTTTGAGTTCGGCCTTCTTTCACCGGCTCTTCAAATTCCTGTCCAAGTTGAGTGGGACTGCTTGCCTCCCTTCTTTCAAGTGAATCTCCTCGTCGTTCGGCACGCCGCCGCAACAACCAGTAAGTGACCTGAGGGCACGAGATGCAACCAGATGCAACAAGATGCACCTTAGAAGTTGCTCACTGACATGTGCCCTCCCCGGGTAGCTGCGGGTAGCTTCTTGTGTGAGCGCTGGCACTGACGAGAGTGAAGAGACATCATAACGGTCACGCCTGAAGGAGCGTGAAAGAGGTCGCCACACCATCACCAAGCCCCACAAGGCCGGCAGAACAACCTTGAGTCCGTGCGTTCCACGACCGCCAGAGCAAACTCGACTAAACTGACACCCCCAAAGAGTTCTAGCAGTGCTGAGCATGCGGCCACAATCAGAACAGTGATAAAGAACCATGCAGCCTTCTCGTCAAAAAATGGCCGGGCTCTGGCGCTGTCCTGAAAGGATGCATATGAAAACATTTTGAGAGATCCGAGAGATGCTGAGATAACGAGGGAGCGCATGAGAAGCATGGCTTTCTTCCAGATTGCAAATGCAGTCCTGCTTACTGAAGCAGGAGACGCCATGAGATACTGCAGGCATTGCAGCGGGCTCCAGACGCATCCACTTCCTCGGAAATAATGTTCGGCGCGAACAGGTGATTGCACACCCTTTCATCAACTGCGACACGCGTACGCCTGGACCCTCCTCTGTCGCATTTGCAGTCAGTACTGTCATCTTCCTAAACAGTGGGACTGGACTGTCGCGTCCATATGTGGTACGAGCAGACCTTCGAATTGACATCCAAGCCCAATCTGCAGGATTTTGAGCAGACCATGCACTGTCGAGACACCTACGTCACATTCGAAAGTCAGGACATGCGGCTTGTTCCAGAACTCTTCGCTGGGATCGACAGTGCGTTGTCCTCACGGCTGGAAAATAAAGCATCTGTTCACACATGTTGGCAGCGCAGCACGCGCGCAAATGCTTGCAAGGCAGTATTCTGCGAAGTTGAATATCTGCTCTCGTGCTACACCCGTCTAGGGGTGACAGCTAGCTTCCACATGCGCCTCTGAATTCAGAACTTCCGAAAGTTTTCGCTTCGCCGACCCCTCCCACTCCCCCTTGGCCCCGCCCATCCAAACTGCAGGGGCCCCCGTCTGGTCGGCCTTGTAAGTACATTTTGAAAGATTCCCAATGGCGAATGCAAGCATCACAGGCATCACCGCATCACATAAAACCTAGAGGCACCAGCATGTTGTAGTTCATCTGTTCTGTGTCGTTGTTGCTGACGAGCCTTGCAACCTTGCCGCTTCGGAAATTACAGTCCCGTTAGTTCGTCCCCCTCATTCCAGAGCCCAAGGACCAAAGGCCTCCACAAAGATTTATGGCAGTCGTCGGATGTTTACGGTTGGGCAGTCACATGGCACCAGAGGTCAACATCGAATGTGCAGTCGCTCAAAGTCGATACTTGGCCTCCATAGATGTAACCTCAAAGGGTTGGCAAAGACAAATTTTTGACCCACACTGCATCAGCAAGAGCCCTTGCAGCTGTTGCAAGCGAGCTGCACACGTAGTAACCATACCTGTTTGAAGGAGGCACTGCGGCGGGGTGTAAACATGTAGCTAGCAAAAGAAACAAGCTGCTCATACCAGGCTTCAGCTGTCGCAGCCAGGCAGCGAGTAGGCTCGGCAGAGAACGTCTTGAGAGCATTGCTCCTGGGAGTTTTGCTCAAGATCTTCACGTGTCGTCATGTCTCAAAAACAAGGAATTCACCTTAATTCACCTGCGGACAGCGCATGGTGCAACTGTCGTTTTGCGGACATCGGATCTATGTCTCTATATCCTTCATTCATGATCTCTCCGACACGACTACTCCATGGCGTTGACCATTCTGTGCAATGATCTTAGTGGTGGTCGCTTATTGGGACGGAGGCCAGTTAACGGCACTCGATGGTGCTCAGTCAGACGCTAGCAACCGCCACGACATCCGCGATATCAAGTGAGAGGCACCGGGTTGAAGGGTCCAGGTTTCAGGATGTTGTACGGTTCAAAAGTAACTTCCAAGCTGCGCCCCCGATTCAATGGCTATGGTGCCCGGAACGCGCGACTGTACAGCAGAAGCGTCTTGGTGGCTAGGCTTGTTCTTCTCTGCTTTGGCTAGGGACCGCCCAGAACTATTCCTGCATGCAACCCAGCCCACAACACAAAATAACCTGAAAAGCGCACCAAAGTACATGTCAAACTTCACATCGACAACGGCAAAATACTGAACCGGTGGACTGGAGACGCGCCGGATTCCAGTTAACGGCAGCGCAGCATCTACCTGTTATTACCTGCTGGCTATTCGTGGCTTGGAGAGTCTGAAATTGGGGAAGAGGGTGCGAGGAAGCAAAACTCCCGGTCCTCGCATTCGGCTTCTGCGAGAACATTGCCGAAATATCGTCCAACGCTGGAATCAATACCGGCTTTTCCTTTCAAAGCACAGTTCGGGGGATGACATGTTAATAGAAACTGATGACATTGAGTTCTATCGGGGTCGAGATCAGCATGGTCCAGATCCTCAGGATCTTTCAGGTTAGGCTGACAGGGAAAATGGACCTGTAAGGAGAAATGAGGACAAGCCAAGACACGCAAAAATGGACTGAACAACAATGAACAATAGTAAATAAACGGGCGCCTTTTCTATAGTTCCAAACTTGAAGCGGAATCCTGGCGAACGAGCCAGCAGACTGCAGCGAGTTGCTTCCAGCGTCTAACTTCCGCGTGTTCTGCTAACTTCATTGCCGCTGGTACTGAATACGATAAATTGTAGGAACGAACCATCAACGTTACAGCTCAGTGCCATTCGAAGAGACTTCAGTCAACTGGCCGCGTGTCTCTGGCACCCCTCCTGTTCAGCCAGGACTGCGTCTTCTACCATTTAAGACTTTCCAGTGCCTCCTCTGGAGCTGGGGGCGTGGTCCCAGTCCGATTGCTTTAGCCACATGCGCCCGTGCCTCTTCCCATGATTTTGGCCGTGGAGGGCACATTTTGCCCTGTGTGCACAGACAAAATGTCTCATGGAGCAGAAAGAACCTTGTAGCAAAAAACCTACAGCAGCAGCACCTACAGCAGCAGCACCTACAGCAGCAGCACCTCACCTCGCTCATCTACAGCTTCCCCGAGAAAAGCCTTTTGGCCTCTCTCCTTGTCCTGATGTGGTGGCTCCTGAGGTTTTGGAGGATCTTCAACCTAAAGCCCAAAACCATCCCAAAACCTTAAGGCGTCATGGCCTTCCGGGGATCTAACCCGTGCGGATCTCGACCCCAGATAGAACTCAAGGATGACGTGGTGCATGTTTTCTGCTGCACATTGGAACCATGAGCACGAGCACCATAATAGAACAACCCCAAATTGTTCAAAGCACCGTCGCATGTCGTCCACCCTTCGAAGGCATACAACGGCTCCGAGACAAGGTCTCCGACGCACCTGAGCTCTCTCGTGTCTTGGATGGGGCGTCGAGTACTGCTCGACGGTGCGAGATCCTAAAGCCTCAGGTTTTGTGGATCATGTGCAGATCCAGACTTTCAGCAGAAGAGCTGACCCTCGACACACCGCTGACGGTAGGTGTTGGGATTGCCGTCGTCGCAGGCCTGTTCTGCACAAGTGTCTCGTGTGCCCTAGAAACCCTCTTGAAGCTTTCCATATTGCGCAGCGACTGCGCGGCAACTAGGAAGCGACTGCCCTAATGGTATGGCCACTGCGCACCTTACCCTCGGGCTCTGGTGTGAAGATGCAATCGCCCGTCCATGGATCACAAGCCTGCACCAGGACATGCCAGGATGATTGGAGCACCTTGACAGAAAAGGTCTGCCAATTCTGGCAACTGCTGTCAAGTTGCTGCTTGTCCGCTGCAGAAATCCTCTCGTGCGCGAAAAGGCATGGGACACACAACTGATGCTTGGTCACTGATGGCAAGTCCTTGCTAGCACAGACTTTTCCAATGCATTTGTTCAACACCTCGGAAGTAACAAGCAGGCTCAAGGCCTGATTTGCGCAACTTGATGCAACTCACGTGACACAGGTTGCCACCCTAACAGACAACTCATGAAAGCCATGCTTCAGCCACCTCTCGATTGTGACACCAAGCAAAGGCTGGGTTGGCTTGGTATCGACTGGGCTCTTGCTTGTGGAGGTCAAACGTGCTCGGCTTTGAAACTGCTTTCGGGGTGTGGGATGGGGGCGGGGAGAGGGGCTGAGGAGGGGAGGGAAGCAGAAGGGCAGGGAGGTTGCGTTCTAAGATCGTCGCAGTCCGTCGGCAGAGCCCCGCATCGCAGGTGCCGTCGACGAGGCCATTCGGTCTTGGCTTCCCACAATTCTGTCAACATGTTACTGTTGTACATTGCTGGCATTTCTGAGTGCGCAATTGCAGTTCTGAGGATGCGGCTGGCTGCTACAGGCAGTACCGTCTGGCTTGGCTTCAAAGACGCAGCTCCCCGTTGATGGATCGCAAGCGTTCTGCGGTGAGCATGCTCGTCAACAACGCGACACTGTTTGTTCGTTACCCGAGACGTTAGCAGCTCTTATCATATGCTTGGCATCACAAGACACGCAGACGCACATCAGCTTGTGCCGCGGACCCTGACTTTGTCTGTCGGGACCAGGCAAGAGTTCAATGTCTCACACCTTGGCTGCTCTCAAGTGATCAAATATCGGCGGGCATTGTGATGCTTCACGGTGCCCACATTGGTTACAATATCATGCGAAGGTAGTCGTGACACAATATGAAGCTTCACCTTCTCAGGCTCCACGACCAATGGGGCAGCTGGGTGTAGATCTCACTTGTGGATAACTGTCTGAGAACAGCATGATTGCAAATCTGGACTGTTCGTCGCAGAGCGACATGGCAGAGCGACCCTGTCGCGTGCTGCGGAACTGCCGAAGATAGTGGCGACTTTTGTGGACATGTTGGAACTTGAAACAGCACGGCAAACTGCTGGACACCGCTGGAATGCGGCGGGTAGGTGACCCTTCTTCGGTGGCCTGGCGATGCCTGCCTGGATTCTGGATCTGAAGGCGGGAGCGCATGGGAGCGCCACAGCGTGCCGCAATACCACACGGCACGCACGTGGGGCAAAGTGGAGCGGAGACGTGACAGGCTTCGAGCGAGAGCGCCGTGGGCTGCATGGGACTTAGACCGCAACGAGAGCGCGTTTTCGAGCAAGAGTCATAGCCGCATGCGCCACAACGAGAGGATGCTATTCCCTACCTTCAAGAACAAAATCGCACAAGCTTGGGATAGCTTGGGCAAACCAGCGTGTCTTGCGGCAAAGGCACCTCACGTTAAAGCGAATGCACTTGTCCTCGATGCCTTGGCAAACGGCCCCGATGCCTTGGACAGCGGATGGGTTGACCTAGAGATGATTCCATTTCACACTGCACATATGCTGGCCCGGGAAATCCAAGAGCTCTCGGCAGCACTTCAGAAGCGAGCTGCAGACAGCCGTGTGCGTGTAGAACAATCCATCATCACACGGACTGCCATCTGGAAGTGTAGAGTAATAACACTGGCCATCGCCTCATGTGAACATGCGCCTCATGCATGCTCCAATGGTCACGCCAAAGAATGCATCTTCGAGACAGCTTGGAGCTTCAGTTGGTAACCTTGTCTTCCGCACCGAACAAGACGGGGTGCTTGGCGCACATACTCCCACAGCTTGGCAGCTATCCGTCAGTGGGCACTGCTTGTCCTGGCAGCAACTTGCCTCTGCTTGCTGCACGTTGTGCCTGAAGCAGTCAAGACCTGGACTGGCCTGGATGATGCAGAGGTTGGCCGGGCAGTGTCTGTATTTTGCGCACAATGTGCCCGGTCTGTGGTTGAAGCACGACCTCACCCGAAGACGCGTGGACAGGTAACGCATTGGAGTCCACAGCTGTTTACCCAAAGCTCGGCCCTCGACCGTGGCATCCGATCGCCTCGAGCATGGACCCACCGACAATCGAAGCAAGATAATGCACGCCACATGAAAACATCTGCCAATTCAAGCTCATGCAAGCCAGGTGCAGTTGTCCGGGACACCATCCCAGCGCAGCAGCTCCGTCTCGCCCTCACACCGATCCGGTTCACCGGCAATGCCCCTCGAAGCAGCGTCCATCAAGAAGAACCAAGGCCGATTCAAGAGCGAGTCTGATGCAACTATTTGGGGTGCTTTGTCTGCTTTTTTCAGTCAGGCCTCTCCACTCTCCCTCAACTCTTTGGAACGCAAGACAGGCGACTCGCAAGTATTCATTAAGGCGTACTACTACAGTTACTACAAGCGACCGTCAACAAGACAAGACTTCGCAACCCACAAGTAGAGCCAGTAGAGCTGCTTGGGCAATCAGGGCCTCAACTTCCAGCAATCGCACTTGTGCCAATTGCCACACTCAGCCTGGCAAGCCTGGGTCATCCGGTCGCATGCGCATTCGAGGGCCCTCTCGGGAGCAAGGGACAGGCTGAGTGCATCTGCTGCACATTCAAGCACACCTTTCTGTGCTAGCTGAGGTTCATCGTTCTCGGCACCGTAGCAAGTGGAGGTAGTTTCAATCAGCGCTGTAGGGCACCGAAGCTTCTGGAAATCCTCCGCCAGGCCCTGGAATGACAGCGAGCTATCAGAACGAACAAAGCTTACTGCATGATCTGCATGCGCCGCACACTGTGGGCACGCTACGCCTGTGCTGTGCTAGTTGGTGGGTCCTCGCAGGTTGGTATTGCATCGTCATACTGAACTGTGGCCGCAAGCAGCGTGAAAAGGCACTCATCATACCTGCAAGCACATGCGGAGAAGTGCTACTTCCTCGAAGCAAGGTCACAACATGTCTTGACTCGATCCGTCGAGCGCAGGTCTAAGTAGTTCTAAGGGAGGCAGGAGCGAGGCCCCCAACCACAAGAGTCGCCGTCACTTCTGTTTTCTGTGGGACAAGGAGGAGTGGTGTACCCTGTTCCCTGGCCTCAACCCACTTCCTTCTCTCAAGACACAGCTCACCGAATCCACTCAGCGATGCCCCGCGAAACCAACATCACTTCTGGAGGAAGAGGTCGTGCTGGGTTCTACTCAAATAGTATGGGAGTACCCGCATAGGCTACAGCAGAAATCCCAAAGGTCGCCAACACTAAAGACATGCACAGCATTTGACCGCCGCTGTCATGCAGACAGGCTGCATGGCAGACGCTATCTGGGCACAGTCCTGACCTTTGAACATGATGCTGTCAAATACTCATGCATGTCACAAATTCGGCTGGAATCGTGAACTAGCAGACGTGCGGAATTTCGTCAACTCTTTTCAGTCGCAAAGTGCGATGCTGCTCGTGCAACTGCTGCCGAGAAGCATGTAGCGTTACCTTGGTTTGGCTCCCTCCATACGAGCTGTGCAGTGCAGGACAACAGGCACTATGTCGCATTCGGGCAATCTTTGTGCACAATTGCGAGATACTTGAGTCAGCACTCAACCCTCGGACCGAATAAGCGCTCGGCACACTTGTGATGCAGAGTCCTGGAAAAAGAGGCAGCGGCCTGCATCTGCACCCCAGTTTGTTAACCTGAGATCTCAAGGCATCGCAGGACAAACAAGGACCAGTGACTGTCCAAGACCAGACATCCGCATAGCAATGATCTCAAAAGTCGAGGACCCCCACATCCTACCAAGTTCGGGCTCACCATAGCAATGTACGAGTAAGAGATTTCCCCTCAGCAGGTTGTGTAAAGCTTTGTAACTCACATGGTCTGTGCATGTCATTGCTCTGTTGTGGACAAGGATCTCCATGCATGAATTTCTCGCCTCTCTTGCCACCGTGCCCCAGCAGTTGTCCGTGAAGCACGGAGGCTCAGGGACCTCAACAACAGTGTGAGCAAATCATGCACATTGGTCAGAGAAATGTGCCATGTCGTCAGTCAGAAGCTTTGGCTGACAGGCGTCTTCCGGACAAGGTGGCAACCCAGTGTAGTTCGTATCATTCCAGGCAGTGAAGTTGTCTGTACCTAAGCTCATGTCATTCTCTGAACTCGCGCCCATGGTGGATGGTTCGCATGCTGGTTCAGTTCTTCCGAAGTGAAAATGAATGCGTGCTGACACTGAATCCTTGAGGCCAGCACAATTTGGGGTGCTGTTGGTGGCATTGCCGTCACCTCGGGGCAACCCAGCCAGACAACAAAAACTGCAAAGCACTCTTCAGTGGAGAAACATGTACTGTATCTCCTCACAAAGATCTGAATGCATAGGCCACGGCCAGCGTCCTGCGCAATGATGGATGGCCTCACTGCGATGCCGAAGCAGACGGTGTCACTCAAACTAAAACACTCTCAGCACCCTGAGCTGAGATTCCTACAGCAGGAGAAGGCAGATGGCGAAAACATTTCTCAGCACCTACAGGACCGCAGGGCCAGTCTACAATTGTTCCCTACTTTGTAGAGTGACAGCATGCCGGTCAACTAAAGTACATCATGAAGTATGTTGCGATACTGAGTCATACTGCCACGCTGCAAGCGCACGCCACTGGTCAGACCCATTTTGCTCCTCCTTGGGCGAATCTCTCCGCGCGCTGCGGAGTGGGAGATCTGGGTACGCAAACGGCCTTGAGATCCTGAGCAGCTTGTTGCAGAAGGAGTTTGCAAACGCTCCCCGTCAAGCGCGGCGGCTCTGCCGCGACTCTGAGGCCTGCCAAGATTGCCAAGATTGCCAAGCTGCTCGCGCTGGCCCGTATCGAGGGTGGTGAGCTCGATGCCAGCATCACTTTGGCTGGCATTCCTTGGAAGTGCTGCTCTGGACTCTTGTGCTCAAGTGACAACAGAGGAGGTGTTGTGCGGTGTTGCTGTTGCCAAGCATCCGCTCAAAACGGCCGAGGCCATAGACATCCTCGCACCAAGGTGGCCCCAACATGCCCGGCGCAGCGGCGCTCAGTGTCGTCAGGCCATTAAGCAAACGCCTCAGGCAATAGCAGGCTCAGGGTTGCATGGTTAGGTTTTTTTGGAGATGTTCTGGGTCAAAACAGTCACTGTCACAAGATCGTTCACGAAGGCACCAAAGGCCGACTCTGCAAAGCGCACTTTCTGCAAAAACATCCAGCACGTCTGTCTTTCTGCAAAAATTGCAGCACGCCTGTGCACGGGAGGAGGTTCAATTGACCTAATCCCGAACCCTAGCATGCACGTGAAACAGGAAGGGATGTTTATGGACCCGTCCTAAATGATCATAAAGATCACTGGCGGCGCAAGAGAAGTGGTAGACAAGCTTCAGCCAACAGTGCCAAACAGTGCTCACAGGTGGCTTAAGATGCCTTACCGTCGAGCAGTATGCCGCGATATCTCCGGAATTTCTACGAAAGCTATTTCGGCCTTGTCGCCTTCGGCGATCTATCGGAATTCTAAGTTTTTGACGTACTTCTAAGATCAAAGTTCAACAGACTTCAGGTTGCTGGGCTTACGTCCTTCTGACAGGAACAAATGCTCCGAGGCAGATGAGGCAACCAGAATCTCGCCATCTGCATGTGCATTCATAATGGCAGCGATTCTCTGCGCACGCATTACAATCCGGTCCAGCTCGTTCTCTTCAAAACCCAGGTCGGAGACCCACATGCCTAGCTCGTCTCGGTTGTCAACAGCTCCAATGAGCAAGATGCCAAAGATTTGGAGATACTGCCAAAGAGGTCCACCGTACTGGGTGGCAATGCTGCAGAACTTCTCGGCATCAATCTTTATGTAGTAGCAGGTGCCGTATTCTGCAGTCAATCGCCCACGGTGCTGCCAGTCTGCCCACAAGCTCGGAAGGCATAACACAGCGCTCGGATCAATCTTTTGGCGTATCATGTCCATGATTTGCGAATTCGTCTTCTGCTTGGCAAGATAGCGCATAGAACCAGACTGCAGAACGTAAGCGCACGTGCAGGAAGTTGCGGACATAAATGCATCCTGCGTTGGGGTTGCAACGTTTTCGGTCATGCCTTGGTGACACAAGTTCCGAAAGAATGGCTGGTCTCGTGTCTGGCTCCAGGTCGGCCACATACCCAGGCAATACAAGGGTGAGGCAAACATCTCATCATGCAACTGCATCTTCAACCTCTCTGGGATGTTTTGAATGAGGTTCACGTCTGCCTCCTTCAGGCGCACTTCAAAAACCCCTTGCTTACGAATGGATTCTTGTACTTGACCATACAGATCGATCGAGAGATTCCTCTCGTTAAAAAAACGCAGCAGCTTGGACTGTTGCTTGAATTGCTCTTCCCGTGCAGTTCGCAAACTGCTCACTGTGCTGGTTATCGAGCTGATGAAGGAAGAAAACACCCCCATGGCCAAGAGAATCACCCAGACGGAGAAGAACCTGCAGGGGTGCTCCCACCGACGCTGGGTAGTGTTGGCATGCTGTGCATAGGAGCCTTTCGCTCCTTTATGTTGCCTTCCTCCAAAGCTCTCCGTGAATGAACAACTGAACACAGCATGGGGCTTCAACAGGCTCTTGCGAGATTTGCGGGAAGCACTGCAGAAGCACTCGGCTGGTTCATTCAAACAGCTCTTTTCAACGAAAGGACATGCGAAGTAGATTTCTCCTGCCCCAACCCCCTTTAAAGGGCGTAGGGTTCTACTGTGGGGTTTGGGCTTTGTCGGTTGGAGTCGTTTAGGTTTGGGTCTCAGGGTTCTGTGCAAGCTGAAGCCCCTCGAATTACATCGCTTTTCGCTGTGATGTGCTGATGGTGATGGTGGTGGAATGCGTCGATATATGCCGAAACGCATTGATTTGCACCGACATGGGGTTTCTTGGGTTCGTGAGCTGTCCCGGGCATTGTTGGGTTTATCAGGATTGATAATCCTCGGTTCCGTCCGCCTACACATGGAGCGTCCCGTTCCTGCGTTGCGACTGCTTGTAAAGCCTTTGTTACAATCCTCAGGCGACGAGCGCTGGGGGTTCCCGATAGCCGCTAGCCCAACGCTGCACCCAACCGTCCGGCCCCATCACCAAGCTCCATCGAACCCACAAGAGCGCTCAGAGGAAACTCAGGGCACACGCTCGAATGACGCTTGTTGTTGGGTGGGGCGCTTCCTAGTGCCGCTTGAGGCAATGAGAATCACCCTGAGGCTTAACAACCGCAATCACTCACTCCTTTCAGACACATCTTCGCTGCTCGACTAACATTTCGTCACTTGCTGTAGCAGCACCTCTCCAAAGCATTGTCCGGTGCAATGTTGTTGGTCGCTGGCGTGAATTGCGTCAGTGCCTGAGGCCAGGGTAGGCTGGAGGCTTCAGCAATCTTAAAAAGGATCAACCAAAAGCAGTGTTCAACAGCCATGGCCAAGGAGATGCAATTTCTACATTTTCATCGGTATTATCAACAGCTGAGGTCCATACCCAGTGGATCGATGCCGCGTATGCTTCGGTGAACTCCGACCCTATCTCTGCCTGGACGATCCAACTCTTTCCATCCAGCTCAACCGTCCCGATGCCATACCAGCAGCAGGCAATCAGGTGGTTGATGGCAAGTATCATTACGAGGCCAGCCACTACCTTCATCACCATAAACGCGTGGGCAGACAAGAGGCGGTTGGCAACTAGCGACAAAGCCTGTTGCAACTTCGCAACTCGCACCAGCCGCAACAGGCGCAACAACCTCAAAGTGCGCAAGAAACGGGCAGAGCGAAAGCCTGCGGACAGAATTCCCTCCAGCACGAGGAGCATGACATCGATGAAGATCACCACGACATCCAGCGCAAACCATGACTTTAGATACAGGCGCAACAGGACAGATGGTCGCATCTCCAACTTGCCCTTGATCTCCCTTCCAAAGATCAGATTCGTTGGCATGTCCAGAGCCCAGTAAGTCAGCGAGACTTTGCCCACTTCAGACAGGAACTCAATGAACTTTGGAACGTCAAACATCTCAAGTGGGATAGTCACAAGGTCCCAGATAATGAAGATGCTGCCTATAATGGACCAGAACAATTGGAACATACTCCTGGGTCCTACCACGAGACGCTGTAGGTGAGAATCCTCATCCCGCAACGCATCATTCATGCGAAGAGTGGATGCAGCTGTCATGATCGTGGTGCGGAAGTTCTGACCTCGGCTTGCAATCCTGGAGGCCTCTTGAAAGGCAATGTTCCAAGAGGGATGCATCTTCAGCAGATCCTGCCCCAACAGCATCGGTCGACAAAGCTCATCATCTGGATCAAAGAGCGCATCCCTCATGAGCAGCTTCGATACAAAATCTGCCCACTTCTCGACCGGCGTGCTGTCATCTACACCTTTCTCTGCAGAACCTGCATCTTGTCCATCAACAGATGGCTTTGACTCCTTTGACTCGACATCACCCTCACCCGAGAGCAGCTGGATCTGGCGCTGCAACAAGACCACTGAGTTCCGAAGCTGTTCTGTCTCGTTGACATGTTGCTCCCGAAGGGTCTGGTGGAGGGCTTCCAACTGCACCTTGAGGACGTCATCAAAAGGTGTGGAACCCTTGGAAGCCTTTGGAGATGACGACCAGGTAGAAGGCTGAAAGGCAGTGGCTGCCAAACTGGCCATGGCGCCTACGGCGGCCGCGGCCCAAGAGTTCGGCTGATTTAAAACTGTTGTTGCTGCAGCGTAGTTCTGTCATGCTTGCCTGACGTGAACGCTACAATCGCGAGAGTTCATGATGTTGCGTAGTCATCAAGCTGCCAAATGGGCTGCGGGGTCTTCCTTGTTCGGATGTCTCACGCACACACACGATAGCTTGTCTGGACACAAGACACGGACTTTTGACAGGACCACATCATCACCGTCATCATGATTCAATCATGATCATCACACATCATCAGTGAGCGCCTTCGTTGACCATGTAGGTGTGTCCCCATCCCTGTACGGACCACAGGTTGAAAACACACACACACACACACACCCACACACACACACACACATACACATACACACACAGACACAGACACAGACACAGACACAGACACAGACACAGACACAGACACAGACACAGACACACACACACACACACACACCCACACCCACACCCACGCACGCACGCACGCACGCACGCACGCACGCACGCACGCACGCACCCACCCACACACACACACACACACACACACACACACACACACACACACACACACACGGAGGCAGACACATCAGGTGATAATCACACACACAGCGTTGACACTGCCTGGTGCGCCTCCGCTTTCTGTTGTGACTCTAAGAAGATAGGTCGTGGCTGGTTGCGTCATCACATGTCGCAAGCCATCCGCATTCTAGCCAGGATGCATATCCTCTTCCGGAAGGTTGAAGTCAAAGACATGGCTGTCCTGGATCACTGTCACTGTATTCGCATCATTCGCGATATTTCTGTTGCCATCGTGTTCTCTCCTCGGCCTCCTTAGGCACCACGGCAAGGCCCAGCTGCAGGGCCCATCGCGCCAGCACCGCCGAAGCCGAGCGGCCTCAGCGAAGCGAAGCGCGGAGCTGTGTCACGCTATGTGTCAGGCTGTTCCAGATTTACCTAAATGGTGTACTGCTACTGTTACTATACTGTTACTATTGTACTTTTGATCGAACGAGACCTGCTCGCTTCGCAATGGACAAGACGTGAGGGTCTTCCAGTGGCCGCAAGAAGTTGAAACCTAAGTCAAAGCTGTCCAAGCTCAATGACACCGTCAGGTCATGTCAAGTGCAAATAATTAAAATGAAGCTTGTGATGTCGTTGCCGTGCATCTGAGGTCCAGGCGTTCTTCCACGTGAAAGGCAGACATGACCACACCATGCTCCCGTGTCCAACCAAGCATGTGGCCATCCTTACTCTTCTCCTTGGCTGCACTATCTACACTTCCTCTTCACGCAGCCAATATCAGTCCATCCTCTAGCAGCGAGAACTTCGCACAGGATCTTAGCATCAAGTAGACGACAGGGCACGGAGTTAACATCCTCTGGGAGTATCTGGTATATCGACATCCGGCATTGAAGGTAGACCGGCTTCACACGCACTGCATGGTGTAGAGCCTGAAAAGACTCCATGTCGAAGTTGCTGACCTCACAGAAACCATGTGAAGCAGTTGTGACGCGCCGTTTTTCTTGAGATGTCGACGAAGTTGCGACAAAGCCACGCCAAGCGAGCGGAATATGCCTTTGTCGTAGAAAGCTTCCAGCACTTCCCAGACGGAGCGCAACCTTAAACATGAGATGCGCACGCCTGTTGCACTTGGTACGCTGGAGGTACGACTCCCTGTCCGCGCTCCATGCCCCCGAAGCCGAGATTTCTCCGAATCGACTGCGAGCAGCCAATTTGGCAGACAAGCTGGACAGCTTTGAAAGTACTCGTCCTTTGCGTACTTGGCTAATTACTATGTCAATGTGGCTTCCAGCCGCAGGATGTCGAATGATGCCGAGCTGAACTCTAGTGACCCTAGTGGCGTGTCTAGATGACGATTCGTCCTGGCCTAGCTGTCTAGCTCTGCTGCTCCACCTTCTGGCGCCAGCTCTGCAGGTTCCGCAGCGGAAGCACCAGCAAAGCACCGGAGCCCGCCGCAACGGTGAGAACAGTGAAGTAGCAAGGCCAGCCAAGGCTTGAGACCACCTTCGACAGAGGGAAGCCCGACAGCGCAGCCCCGAAGTATCCGACCCAACCAATGAAGCCAGTGGCTGTGGTGCTCCAAGCTTTTGGTGCCGACTCATTGGCTACAAGTGGCAAAAGCAGCTGTGCACCACAAAGGAAGTGGCCCAAGGCCAAGAGGACCAGGTATTGCAGCCAAGGGCTGGAAGGGACGCGGCTGAGCACTGGGAGAAGAACAAGAGTCGCCAAGAAGTAAAGGCAGACAACCTTCGCACGTTGCCCCACCTCCCCGTCACCAGGTCGGGCTCGGCGCAGAAGGAAATCTGAGAAGCTCCCAGCAGTAAGGTTTCCAAGGAAGCCGCCGAGTTCAAAGCCCGAAAAAAGCGCCGCTGCTGCTGCCGGGCTAATTTTGCCGGTCTGCATGAGGTAGAAGATGCCCCATACACTCAGACCCTGCCTGCACCTCGGTGAGAAGCCGAGTTTATCGGAGCTACTTGACTGCATATGAATCAATAGTGGCCGCCTCATCTGACCTTGCTGACTGACAGTAACTAAGCTCCTTGCACATAGACCAGCATGTAGGCGACACCAAGTGCCCACTGCACGGGGTTGAGGACAATGCCTTCCATGAGGCTCACCTCTGGTTCCGGCTTGGCCTTCACCTTCACGGCCTTTGTCCCCTGTGCCGCAGCATTGGCGCTGTCAGGGCCATCACGCATAGCCAGAAGGCACAGCATAACGGTGATGAGCCCCAGCAGACCAGGCCCCAGCATGCCATAACGCCAACCAAAGGTTCCTGCCAAAGTGCCCGCAAAAAATGGGCACAGGAAGCCACCCAAGTTGATAGAGGCGTGCCAGACCGACCACCAAAATCCGCGTTCTTTCGGATCAAACCAATTCGTGATCATCTTGACACATGGTGGGGCTGCCAAGCCCTGAAAGCAACCGTTCAATAACCAGAAGAAGGCAAACTGCGGCAGTGTGGAGCTCAAACCGAATGCAATGTTCAGCAAACTGCAGACGAAGAGCCCAAGAGCGAAGACGCGCTTGGGGCTCATCAAGTCTCCGAGTAGGCCACCCAGGAACCGCGAGGAGCCATACGCCAAAGGGAAGAGCGACTGGAGCTTTCCGATCTCTGCCAAGCCCTTCCAGCCCATGGCTTGCCGCAAGACAGGCGCTGTGTAGCTCAAGCTTTGCCTCGTGAAATAGCAAACTGAGTACCCGAAGAAGCAGGCCCAGAACGTGAACCACTTGGCCCAAACAAACTTTGTGTTTGCAGCTGGCTCAGAGTCTTTGGCACGCCGCTGCAGCCGCAGCGGCTGCAGCTTCAAGCCTCTTGGCCTTGAAAGCCATCCTGGCTGGCCTCCGGGCCTCCATGTCGCAAGCTGGCGCGGAGGATGCACCAGAAGCGGCTCTTTCAGGGAAGGAAGGCTCCAGACACTCGGCATTGCAGGTGCCAGCGCCATGTTCAGTCACACTTGTGTTTGTTTCGGCTGAGTCTGGCTGTTGAAATGACCATGGTCGATGTGCAAGTGTCCGCTGCTCGCTGCTTGACATGAGCTTTCTGCGACAAAAGGCAGCGAGGCGGCACGGCCTGTTACTGCCAGTCGACCACCATTGCAACAGAATCATGCCCCTCCGCTCCTACCAGATGCAGATGAGACACAGCATGGAGTCTTGGATAGGCTGACTCAGCATGAAGAGGTCAATGTAGTCCAACCCGAAATGTTTCAGCTGCCTTCGACATCGGTATTGCTCATGTACTCAGGCGTCGTGGGCAAGTGCCCTGAAAGCACAGCATGCCGCACAGCTACTGCAGTATTGCACGCTTGGCACCCAAAGGATAGCCGTCCCTCGCACCTGATGCGGTCAGCAAGAGTCACCAATGTACTGTGTGTTCGCTGCTTTGCCCTGATGATACGTAATGTGGTCCGAAAAAAAAAGAAAGCTTCCCTGAGTCTCAGGCCGAGCTTGCTGGTTAGGAAGATCTGCTCTCGTTGGACACCTGGTCCGAGCTTGCCAAGGACAACTGCGGTTCGTTGGCAGTGCCGGATGCCTGAATCCCGGATGGCCATGCTGACTTCCTTCTCACTTCCATAGTGCGGAGCGATATCAATGTGTCCTAAGTGCTTGGCTTATCTTGGCACTTGGCATGGCACCGTTGGCCATAAACCGATGGACTCAAACCTTCCACACCAGCAAAAAGGCACTGAAAGGTGTTGAAAGGTGTTGAAGCTGAGAGGCTGTAGCCTGCCCGCAGTGCACCAAGCACGCGTTTGTAAACTTCGTTGGTCTTGAGCGGGAATTTCCACACATTCCAAACCTGGGCAAAGTGTGACTCTCTTGACCATCACCATTCTTTCGCGTGGTTTCACAATGACTGTATGCTGCCAAATCACGCTGAAGACAAGAAGCGGCCTCGGATCGAACTTCCCCCAGCACGCTCTGCGACTTTGGAGCTTTTGGTAAGTTCTTTAGACAGGCTGGGTGACATCTCCGAGCAAACAACACAGCACACGGCAGGTTGCGAATGGTCGCGACGCACAAGTGGCAGCGGGAAGCGCACGAAAAGGGAGAGAACATGAGAAATGGGGACCGAAGTGGAACTCAGCGTCGCCTACCCTCACTGCTCGTCCAGGGGCATTGGCAATCCGTTTGACAGGGAGACACGGGCGCCAGTGTCCCCAGCAGGCAGCTGGACGGACCTACCTGCAAGACGGCAGCAAGGGTCCCCAGCGGCAAATGCTTCGGGGCTTGAAGATGTTGTTGAGGGGAAGGGAGCCTTGTACGGGTCCCAGCAGGTTGGAAAACCGAGAGACACCTCCAGGCCCGAACTACTAAAGCTTTAGTCTCTAGCTATATCACCATGATCAAGCATTCTTAGAAATTCGCAAGTCGCAGGGCACTCATTCATTAAAGCTGAGTGCATGGAGGAGCGTTCATCACAGGACCAATCCCCCCCCCCACGTAGAGCGTAGAGGATGCTATACACGCTTGGCACATGGTCATGGCACAGCCCGTGGACAGCATTCTTCCGGGCTTGCCGCTGGTTCGTGTTCCTCCCCAATTCCCTCGGGCCCCTTGTGGTCCTGTGCCATGCTGCCTGGCGGTGCGCATCATCCGCATCACGTGGACTTCGCTCGAGCGCGACGAATCCCAAAAGCATCAGAACCAAAGAGATTCAAACAGCAGCGTGGCTCTGTTAGCCTTCTTGCGAAAGCCTTCAAAAGCATTCGTGCGGCACATGGACGGCATTCCTTTTGGAGCGCTTGTGACAAGCTCCAGGCTTTGAAGCTGTACAGCTCACTGTTTGCCAGGCAGGTTCTAGGTTTGAGGTTTGTAAGCTTGCAGGAACAGGGTGCCAGTTCCACATTTTGCTTACAGCAGTAGAGCTTTACTTAGGATGCAGGGAGCGGATTGCGAACTTGCGATGTTCCAAAAACCATGCTGCTGGTGGGGACACCGACATTGTCACAAAGCCAAAAAACACGCTGATCCCAAAGCAAACGGATAAGTCTCTTGCCAAAGGTGCCTGCGAAAGGAATGTGAAGCGCATGGTTCATCAAAGTCAGCGACAGGTGGCTGCCGAGCCTTGGCATGGGCAGCAGAAATGCCTGCCTGCCATTGGACCCAATGTCACAATGTTCGATTTCACTGCAGCATGCCAAGAAGCTGGTACTCTCCAGCTACCAGCCAAAGCTGCAACGACCGCAGTAGAGCGCGGGCAGTGCTACTCATCTCCGGCCAACCTACGTGCCACTTCTTGGCATCGTTTCCTTGGTTGGAATGAAGGAAGGGCTCGAAGAGTTGACCATTGGTTCAACGAAAGAGTGGTGCTGTCCATTGTCTGAGGCCCAAGGGTCCAAGCCAGTACATGAACTCGTGCACGGCCACAACTTGTTGCACCTAAAATGTGAACAAGAAGCTGTTAAAGTCAAAGTCTGCATCAATAAAAAGCCTTCAGAAGCCCTCCCTACTCCGGGGAGGGACCTCGCGGGGCGTGAGGCGAAGCCGGTGAGCCGGACTTGCGTGTTGAATTGCCAAGCCTGACGCTTGAAAAGGAGATCAAGCTCACAGTCTATTTCTCTGCATCCAAGAACTTTCCCAAGCAGCGATTTAAGGACCCCTTGAGTTTCGAGGATCTCATATGATTTAGTGAAATGCGCGCCGCGCTTAGCCCCTTAGGCGGAGGTGCGTTCTCAATCAAGCAAGATGCCCAGCGCCTGGAGCCTTAAAAGTTTTACAGAGGTTTTACAGAGGGTCACAGTATTAAGGACAATTTTGGACAATTATGTAGTTGAAATTAAATAAACATCCCGTGCAAGTAGCGAAGGTTGTTCCACGCATATCGCCAAGCCGAAGCCACGCTCTGCCACAAGTCACTTGCGTAGGGGCAGTCCGCATCGTCGGATCTGTCCTGCACCATGGGGTGGAGCTTCATGTCAGCTCCGCTTCGAAGCTTATTGTAAAGGTATCAGCATGTGTCAGCACACTGCTGAGGGCAGCGCGCAGGATTCAGGTACCTGGCCAGCCGCCCACAGCGCCGCCTCTGCGAAAGGTGGCGCGCGGTGGGCGCAGAGGCCAGCGGCCCCCGAAGCGCAGTGTGCACTCTGAGCTGCCCAGGAACTACCTCTACACAGAGTTGCGACGAATACTGAAAAACAAGCACGCGAAAGGGTCTTCCAACACAGCAACGGCGGGGTGCGTATGTGTTTGCAAATTGCAAAGTGGCCTGCGAAGGAGGCTGATGCCGTCCCAAAGGAAGCAAAGAAGCTCCACATGCCCATTGCGGGCATCTGCTCTCATGTCTCACGAGTTATTTACACTTCTCATCACTTTTCCAGCGCGTGCACTCTCACCTGAGGCACGACGTGACGATGCTCATTCAGTGCTCACGAATTGGGGGTCGAAGACGTGTTAGATGCTTTCGCGACATAGCATGATTCAGCTGAGCCAGAAGCACGCAGCCAGCACCACAGGAGCGAATCCATGCATGGGTGGGTCGATAAGACTAACTAGATCACCCGAGACAGCGTTCGCCATGGGCACCTCCCTTCTCAGGACATGCTGCACCATTGTCAGATACCTGGCCATGCATGGGACTTCAGCCCGAGGGTACGCTGTGCATGTCGGCAAATCTAGTCCCATTGCGTGCCTCTAGGCTCCAGCAGCATCTGACAAGCAGGCATGGCGCAAAGCAGCGATTTGCGAGCCGGTTGCCTACGGAAAAGCTACTTCTCAAATGTCCGCGATTGCTGTAAACTCAGTTCTGTGGCCTGTCTTTCGCAAAGTGCGTTGTTAAACTGGCTGCCGCATCAGGCTGTGGGAATGTCATGGGATTCTGTTTTCGTTTGAAGCAGAACAGCTGTAGAAAGGGGGCAGACGCGGGCAGCTCGACTTAGCACAAGACCACGTTCCGCAGGAGGCACAGAAGCCTGACTACTCGTGTTGCGTCCGCCAGGATCCTGCTGGGAGGACGAGTTTGTGGAGATATTCAAGGAGTGGTGTGACCTCAAAGGTGCAGACACCCAGCTGCTGAACTAACTGGAAGTGGCAATTTAAGTGAGACACGAATCGGAAAGCTCCCAAGCAGCACCGCCTTAAGTGTTAGGTGCAAGCCAGGCATAGTGACGACTGGCAGACGAATCAGGCAAGATCTGCAAAGTGCCAGCATAACGTACCCGCATGGGTTGCCAGCCGCTTAGGGGTGATGGTGGTGATGGTGCAGCCGATGGATTCCTGCATGGACTCACATTGCCGGAACACGAATCGCGCTCAGGACCTGAGCTCTGAACTCCATGGAGCCCCGCATATCTACCGTTGAAGGTGCTGGAGACCTTACCCAAATTGCCAAAGTCTGTCATTGATCTTCTAGCATGGCACAGCCAACTGTCGCTTCATGCACGGAGCAGCTAGGCGGTGCAGCTAGGTGGAGCACAGGGCACAGTGAACTTCATGAACGGCTGGTACTTCCAGTGTTGGAGCCCCCCGTGCAGATTCGCCATCTGCCGCAGCATGTCTCAATAGGGCAGAACATGGCAGAACTACCATCCCCCTGCAGACCTGCAGGTTCCTGGCTCCATTGCGCCGTCGCCTGCTGCACGGCGACCTTTCAGGAAACGTGCAGACGATGCAGCACCAGCAGGCAAAGTAGGTAAACCCACATTTCCAGACAGTATAAGCCCATTTTTTGCCTGGATCTCCTGCCTCGGCTTCGGCAGAGTGGCACGTGACGAAATGCGGGCATTGTCTGCTCTTAGGTCGATGTCAGTGTATGTCAGTGAACTTTCGCACTCGAACCCAGCCTGCAAAGGTCGTCAGGGCCTTTCCGGCAGCAAGACATGAGCAGCGTCATCTGGCGTCCAATCACCGCGACTCGCAGCGAAGCCTTGCCATCTGAAGACCGGTGCCATGTCCCTTGCCTGGACACTGTGACAGCGTCACAAATCATGAGGAATCTCCACTTTAAGTGGCAAAGAGGCAAAGAGCCTTGTGGCCAATCTCACCAGCCCTTGCGCGCGCGGGCACTGGGTACTGAATACGTACTAAATACGGCCCATGAGCTGCGCAGGAAAGCTTGGCCTCCTCTGCGGAGATGTTCCTGGGCCTGTCAACCCGTCAATTTCATGAACTTCCCAACTCGGCATCAATACAACGCACAGATACGGCGCCTCTTTCGACGCACTGATTCCTGCTCTTGCTCAGAATGCTTATGGATTGAAAAATGCGACGGCTTTTGTCAGCCAACGTCCTGGGCAGCGACTCTGTGCCACAACCTTAGGTCTATTTCAGGTCTCGGCGACTCCTTTGTGTTGCTGACAGTGCTCTTTGCAGCCCGGTTGCCGGATGGGAGGTTGCCCATGACCTGAACTGAGGCTACGAACTACGAATCGGCTTCAATCGGTTTCAAGCTTCAAACGTCCAATCTTCAAGTTGGTACTATGATGCGCTGTGAGGTACTACACAATCTACACAGTTTTGCAACAGGAAGACTAGACTCAGAATCGAGCCCGGCGAGTCACTGACAAATTGCTTCGAGGCTCGATCTTCTCCTTTTAATTGCTGCAACCGAACCAAATCTGTCCGAAGTTCTGCGAGGCAAACCAGCACACACACACACACAAGCACAGCCTGCATTGAATCATGGTCGTAGCAATCCTTGCAGCCTCTCTGGAGAGATCCAGAGCACAATCCTGTTTTGCCGCCTGTCATCCAAGCACTTCACCCGATCGCTGTCGCAGGCAAGAGCTGCATATGCGGCGAGACTCTGACGTGAGCGAAACTTGGGTGAAAGACACTAGTCACTAGTCAACGCCCTCGCTCACATTTTCCTTCTTTGGCGTTTGCCGGGCTGGTGATACCACCATTTTCAGTGTTGGATGTACCTTTGCTAATGATTAGGGTTGCTGCCGGCATGCCGCTTTTGTTGTCTCGTACAATGCCTGTGCGATCAAAGATAAGGCTTTCAGGCTAACGAATATCGCCGTTCCTGCCTAGCTACAGCGTGAGCAACCTACTTTATCGAAACTGTATACTCATGATCGCTTGCGCATGAGTTTCAGCCGCTACTCACATGAGACTATGAAGGACCGATGTTCCTGCATGCAAATGACGGAGCAGTCATGACTCCACCTGGCCCCCTAATTGTCACCCCGCAACCCCCCTATGCCCTGAGTCCTATCTTCCTCGCACCCCTCCAGCTCATGGCATCTGATCTTTAACGTTGTGCCTCACAGATGCATCTGTAACGGTGAGGACCTTTAGTATGCAAATGTTTCTAGGCTGCACGCATGCTGAGAAAACCAGGCGACTACGGAAAGGCCCACACATTCTGCAGACACTTGAAAAACCTTGAAGCCTCCCAGCTTCCCAGCACACTTGAAACTGGATCCAAAGCGATTTTCGTGGTCATTTGCAAGTGGCTGTCAGGCGCCCTGCACAATAGCTTGGCGCCTGCAGCGCCCCTCGGCGTTCTAGGAACGGCGCTATTGCCACCGCTACGGTCACCGCGACACCTGACATGAGTAAGTTGTGTTTCTGCATGGCCTCCAGCTTCTGTGAATGGTCCCGAGAGCTTGACACGTCAGAGCAACTTCTGGATCTTTCGACAGCAGGGGCCGCCTCAGATTTTCACTGCGCCTGATCCAAAGCCCCTTTCACAAAGCCTGATCCAAAAGCCGCTTTCACAAACTCCACAACAAATTGTGGCCCTTGCCCGACCCTTTGCCGCTCTAGCAACGTACATCGTAGATATCTCTCCTGTCAAGCACAATGCACCTCACTTTGACGAGATTGGCACAGTTTCGCCCTTCATGCGGCCTGCACGCATAGCGCCTGAAGTACTCAGCTGCTGTGCGTCTCGTCGACAAACCTTGCCACATACAAGTAGCGAAGGCAATCACCTTACAAAGATCTTGCAGCGGGTACGGCCGGCAAGGTCGAAACCTTTAACTATTGCACAACAGACTTTGTAAGATGTCAAGAACTGTCAAGAACCAAAACTGTTCCTCTGAGAGCCGCACCCCGGAGGCCGTACGAGGAATCGCTTCGAAGCGCTGGGGTGATCTGCCAGACACGTTTTGGCAACCTTTTCTTTGCATCCAACCTTCTGGGTGTGAGGATGCCTGGTGGGTGAAGCACTCGGTGCGAAGGATTTGGCCTTGACAGGTGCCTCTCCGAGTCACTTCGTAGTTGGAGAGCGCCTTCGAAGAGTTAACTGAGGCATGGGCGCCAGCATGACTTGGCGTGACCTGATGTCTTTCTTTCGGATCTCAAGTGGTTCATAGGTCAGATTGCGCGTTCTGCTTGCTGGCGTCGGCCGTATCGGTCGGTGATAAAAAGCGGCGCCGGGAACCCCATCAGAGGCATTGACAATGACAGGTCGCTGGTGGGGAAGCTGGGCCTCAACTTCGACAGCGCACGGCCCCTCAAGTCTTCAGAGGTAGGCTTTACATCGAGGGACTGGGAGGCAAGCACAGCTCCCCGCATTGATGGACGAGGGGTATCCTGAAGGTCCTGAACATTGCTTTCCACAAGCGCAGAGGCTCAACTCACGATCTTTGCTCAAGGAAAACCAGGAAATTAACCAGACAGGAAAACTCCCCTCTGACCGGTCCTGCTCCTTGGCTTTTGTAGCTGCACGCGGGGATCACAATTTGCCTTGCATCCATACCGCGAGTTGCCCAACTACTTACATTCGTTTAGGTCTGACTACCTCTCTAAAAGACGTGCAACTGGTCACCGCCACTTTGGCCGATGCTCCAGGACCCGGGGGCCAGGCCTGACAGCTGGCGGGCCTGCTTGCAGCTGCAGAAAAAGCAACAGTGCCCCCTATGCTCCTCTGCCAGCACATCACACATCCAAGGGCGATGAGGGGCGAAGCTGCCTTGCACATGCTGTCGATGCAGGAGAGAGACGGCAACTCGTCCGCCTACGAGCAAATGCTCCGAAGAAACTTGCTGATCGAGCAGCCGGCCACCTGCGCTGGAGCTCCGCAGCCTGGTGCCATGTAAAGACAAGTAAAGAGCAGGTAAAGCTGCGCAAAGCAGGTTGAGACCGCGTTGCGCTAAACTACACCAGCGCAACTTCAAAGCATCGCAGCCTTTGTGACGAAGCATTGCCCAGCGGACAGAACATCCGATAAAGCACCCTGGCCACTGGGACACTGCAAGATCCGTCCACCTTGAGCCTTTGGGTCGTAAAAGTCCTAATGTCACGCTCTGAGTCCAATTGATAACTAGTGGCTCAATGATTTGGGCCTCTTGTTTAGAAACGTTGGAATTGTACACTGCTCATCATGTTCAACCCGCATATTGATTGCCCCGCTAGCTGTTTCCAGTAAAACCCGCTCAACTCCTTCTTTACTGTGCTTTACAGTGCACCTCTACTTGCCTGAACGGAACGCAACAATCATCTCCACGCGACAAGGCAATCGTGAAAAGAATGATGAATCAATGATGAATGATTCTGGGACTGTTTTCCATTGGTCTTCAAACACCAAGAGCAGTGCGGCGGATGCGACGGGTGCGCAGTCAGAGCACGCAATGTGCATCGGGTGCACACATTGGGCGTGCCGGACTTTGCCGTACTGCGCCATGCAGCCATGCACAAGGAAAGAACCGATAACATTGCTGTGCTGCAGAGTAGCGGTGGATTGTCAAAGCCTGGCTCAGGGTTGAAGGAGTGAGATATCTGAAAAGAGACGAGGTCCCGCGTAACTAGGCAGCACGTCGGATGATATAACGCATTGTAAGGCATTGCCAGGTTGCAAACAAAGGCCTGCTGGAACATTTCTCCCAGCAGGTCCTCTAAATTCAAGGACAACGAGCCCGCCCTCCGGCTACAGCCTCATCTCTCGGTCAGCTCTACAGTGCTGTGCCGTTCAGCCGGAGGGTTGGTGCCCCGTTGCCATCCGAATCATACAAGTTGTACATAAGCCAAAGCTATACTACATATGAGGGGTGCAGAGGCCAACCACGTTTTCTGTCAAGACTTCTTAGTCAATCTTTATTCGTGTTGTCCACACCCCCACCAGCCACCAGCATCAGAAGCTGGCGCCTTACAACAAAACTGATGCATGCTGCTTGATGGCTTGCGTGAAGGAAGTCTGCTTGATGTGTTTGCTGTTTCGCTCTCTAAGCCGCTGCGGCCCGAACATCTTCTCCGCACTGGCAATGGGTGAAGCTGCCTGGCTTTTCAAGGTGAGGGAGGCGAAGCCCGTTAACGCATCTTCAACCTACTCAGGCGCATGTTGGCTGACGGAAAAAAGGCGCCGGGGGAGAGCTAACAATGCATGAACTCTCTGTGTCGTGAAGTGGGCACGGGTGAGCATGCCTACCCAGGAAAGCTCGACGTCGAACAATGAACTATTTTCACTTCGATGTACTATCACCGAGGCCGTGCGGCAGGGTGTTAGGTGTGCTAGTGTCTCAGGTGCGCAAGCCTACCAGACCAGCGTGCTAAGAGTTTCCCATGTTTTCTTTGCCTGAACTGGGTACCTCGTGCTGGAGGCAGACATGGGCAGACTTGAGGGCGGCGTGTCGGGACCGCCATGCGGAACCCCGCGCTGGACCCCCAGACTCAGACCGTAAAATTGCCCGGTCGAGGGCATGGGTGGGGCCGGGCGGGCCGTCTGGACACAGCGTACTTCTCCCTGCCTCTTTGGCATGCTTACGAACCGCCAGAGTACCTTGGCATCATGCTGCTAGTGAGTCTGACAGCAAAACAGCCAACCGAACTGTGGAGCGAGCGGGCCACTCTTGCCCCGGCGCCGAGGCCTTTCATGCTTGCAGAACGCTTACAGAAACCTTCCCAGAAAACCCAGCAGGAAAAAAGCCGCGCCTGTGGTCGTCTGTCTTGGCCTCCTTCTCACTCTTCTGAATCTTTCCCTTCTCCTCATCTTGCGAGGACACTTTCACAGCCCAGACCTGACCAGTTGCACGTAAGGCGGCGAGTGAATCATTACAGAATGCTGCAACACTAGCACTGTCAGCCTTTCCATCTGGGCGAACGTAGCCAACCTGAGAAACAGGTCTGGACTTGCATGACTTAGCCAGCGCTTCCAGCAGCGATTGTACAGCCCTTCTCAACCGACAAAATCTGACCACAGCACTGAGGTCGAAACTCCACTACCCTTGCCTTTGCCCTTGGCTGTCTTGCCTTTGCCTTTTCCACCCTTGCCTTTACCACCCTTGCCACTGCTTTTTCCATTCTGGCCATCGGTTCCTACCCGAGACATGGATGCAGGCAACTCATACGTCAATAAGGCAGAGACTCTCACAAGATCTCACAAGAAGCAGCTCGGAGAAGGCCCAAAAGCCAGCCCCCGCAGTCACAGAGCCCCCATGCCCATGTCCCGTGGGCGGCTTGTCCTGCAGAGCGCCACACGCCCAGCTGCGGGGTCCACGTCTCCTTAGTGATGCGTGACTGCATTTTACTGCATTACGCTGGCCTGGCGTTTGGCCGTTCCCGAGTCTCCGAGTTTAATGCTGAGTGCCCATCTGTCGCAGCTGTGGTTATGGTTGCCGGAGTGCTGGGACTCAGAATCTTCACCGGCTCCTGCATCTGTGTAGAGCAAGCTATGAAGTGAGTAGAGGCTGGTGCCTGTTTCTCAGGAGGGAGAGGAGGACATGCGAAAGCACGTCGGGTGGTGGCACCGTGATGGCAAAATTCTTGTAGGAAGTGGACTCTCTGCAAAGATTCTCACGCACACTTCGTACTTGTGGCAAGATGTGCACGCTCCTCGGGCACATCTGTGGTGTCAACCTGCAGCAACCACCACCGCTGTGTGAGAACCGGCCACTGTGGGGAGCCAGCTCAGGCATCGACAGACTTGTCAGGCTCTGTCGAAATGGGCTCCGGCATCTCTGGCAACCCACGGTCGACTTTGACAAACCTGAGGTACTGTGACAGTACTACTGTCTGTACAGTAAGACTGAACACGAGCGGGATGAGTATCAAAGGCCGGTGCGGCAAGGGACTCTCCTCCGGCGCTTCGACCGGCGTCACTCCCGGTGGGAGCCACTTCAGTGTCGGCTTCGCAGCTGCGAAGGCAGATGAGAAAAGGCGGTTGAGCTCCTGGTGGCAGAGGCTCGGAGGGACTCGCGGTTGTTGGGGGTTATTGGGGGTTATTGGGGGTTATTGGGGGTTATTGGGGGTTATTGGGGGGCTGCTCAGGGTTCCTCCAGCCCTTGCTTGCTGGCAGCGTACAGATCGCGTCGTTGCTCGTCGCGAATCTGGCGCGAGCACTCGGGCACAAGACACATCACGTTTGAGGGTCGGGTTTGTTCAGGTTCAGGCTCCGATGTCTACAGAGATGCCCATGCCGAAGCTCTCAGATCAGTGTTGGCAATGCTCGACACATCTCGGCAACTTTCTCTGCCAAACTGGCGAACCGGCAGTGTTGAAAGATTCTGAACATGTCCTTTTGAGAATGCACACTATGATTAGTGTTGTAAGTTGATTGTTTTGCAAGGAGCTGCCAGCAGTCGAGCTGATGATTGTCCGATCTCCAATATGGGCCTAACCTTCATAGCCCTCCGGGTAACGCAGAAGGATGCACAAGCTGCGTCTTAGCACTTGCAGGATCGTATGTGTGAAAGGTGCGGCATGCAACCTGAGGAACGCCAACGTCGCACAAGCTTGGATGATGGAGCAACAGGAGATCAGAGGCCTTGTCTGCCCGATCTTTCTTCTCCTGCACAGACTGCACAGGTTCGCCGAATGCTCAACAGCTTGAAGGGGTGTGAAGGGGTACACGGTATGCAGGGGCACTCCAGGAGCTCTGGGAATCCATGCCTTCGGGGTGAGCTTGCTGCGTGGCTCCTCCGCCATCCTCGCACGAGTAGCGACAGACAAGGCAAGTGACTGTCGCCACCATCTAGGGCCAGAGCTGGAAGACTGGCAGCGGCCGTGGGGCTTGGCGCTGTGTCTGCCTAAGCACCAGGAGAAATCATATTCACCCGCGAAGTAGCTGCAACAAGCACTCTGAGTCACCGGCACAGACTGCACGGACTGCACCGCGGGTGCTCCGAAATGAGCCGTGAGGGGAGCTCGCCTCATTCATGGACGGTCACAGTCTCAAACTATGTGGCAACCGTACCAGGTCTCATCAGTGAACTTGCATAGATGGAGAGCCAGGCGGCGGCTGAGGGGGTGGTGATGGCGGCAAATTTGGGCATGTGCCCTCAGCATTCTTTATATCAATACAACGCCTGGCAGACTCTCCACAAGCAACACGGCAGCAGAAACTGTGTTTCCAGCCATCATCATTGGCATCGGCTGTTGCAGAACCTGACCGCAGCCACCCATGTGGAAGTTGCCTGTCCGAGCTGCAGGGTCAACGCACAGCAAGATGCTTTTTGCCGCACTTTTGCCTCCTGGAGGCACAGCTGGAGGCGCAGCTGGAGGCGCAGCTGGAGGCATGACTGGAGGCATGAATGCAGGCTCCAGTGGGCCTGAGGCTGTAGCTTGCGAATATCCAAACGCCACATCCACCTTCCTTTGCCATGCCTTGAGGAGGCATCGGCATTGGCAGCATGCAGGCGTTGATTGCACGCTGTGCCTCGCGAAGCACACATGGCTGCAGACACTGCCGTGCAAGATGGGTGAAGTGAAGTTGCAAACGACGCAGTACACTTCCAGCAAAGGCAACTGCATGGCCTGGGGGACGAAAACCGCTGCCCCCGCATTCAAAGAGAATCCGCCTCCAGAAGCCAAATGCTCACCGAACTCATCTAAACTCGAAGCTCGGCGCGCAGACTCCAGGCCCTGTACAAGACGTTTGATGAGCACGGAGCATCATGCGACGAAGGGGGATGCACAAAGGGCGAAAACGCACCTCGGGAACCTGAGTGACTGTAGCAAAAGCACCCAGGCACCACCAATGTTTCTGAAAATACTTGATCATCCTTGAAATACTTGAAAACACTTGAAAATCACTAAAAGCGCATAATCTGGAAGGACATGGAAGAACAGGAGGCCTTTCCTGTGAGGTGGTGGGGACGGGGTTCAGAGAAAGCCGGCCTTAAACACGACGGACATTGTCATTGTAACGCCTTTGACTTCAGCCTCCACATGACAACAAAATGAGAATTCTCCTCCTGCGAGAAAAAGCCGCTTTCTGAGATGCTCGGCGTCTTCCTGGTGCCCTCTGCTGAGTAACAGGGTTTTGTAACTCATCTCCTTTGATCTCCTTCCTTGCCTTCTGGGTGGGAATCGGCGGTGGCATCCTCAAAAAAGGTGGATGAACAAAACCGCCTGATGAGGGACTTGTATCCGATGACATCTCTAAGGCACAACGTGGCCGAAACCAAACTTCACCAAGAACGAAGACAGATCCAGGTCGGCCAGGGGGTTTCAGGTCGGTTTGGATCTTGAGTTTGCCGGGCAAAGCGTACCTTCTCCACCGGCTCTGCCAGCGGCAGCAAGGTGGTCGTACCTTGCAGAAACACACATTTTCAGAAGTTTCAGAAGTTTCATACCCTGACCATCAACCCTTCTTGCAGCTCCCTCGTGCTGATGTCATATTTTGGGATCGCAGTTACACCCTCAGCTGCACACCCCATGGGCGATGTGGGTGTCTCTGGGAAGAGCAGTGGTGGGTGGTGGGCCACCTGCGGCAGCCAACTATATCGACACACCTTTCTACTGGCATCTGCGAACGGACGACAGCCACATAACAAATCCGCCTCGCTCATGTCAGCGCCAAGTGGGGCGCAGAAGCGCGGGCGGTCCTGCCAAAACTTGCCGAATGCATCCAAACGCCAACACCCCGTGGTAAGTGTGAGCAACTGCCAAGCTTCAGGCTTGTTTGGACTTTAATCTACAAGCGGCACCAAGCACTGTCCTGACACCCTGCGAGCATCACGCAAGCCGGCACAACTACGAAACAAGTACACACACTGCGTTGCTGCTCTGGGCCAGCAGACAGTGTATGAGACTGGTGACTTGCGAATGCGGCACACAGCCTTCGTCATAGTCAGGAGGGTTGGCTCAAGATCTTTCATTTGGAGTGTATACAGTCAAAGCATGTCAAAGCACACAAGAAGCGACATAGCGGCGCTCTATGTTTCTCACACGTGAGACAATGTCAAGGCCTTCTTGCACCACCAATGGTCATTGACTGGCGTCTTAGCACGAGGCCATGTAGGGTTAGAGCTTTGTACATAGGCCGAGGCCAGCTATAGCAAAACACTACCGCAAGCAGATGCTGCGGCGTACGTCCGTGTAGATGTCTTTTGGGTCGTTTGCTCCGACCAGAACACGCCTTCCTCACGCTATCTTCGAAGTAAGGAGTCGACTGCTTGGCAGTGCACTCGAAGCTAATCTTCCAAGGCAGAACAGTCTTTGAACTCACCTCCTTTCTGCCAGTGCGCCTCTTCGACAGGGCACCCACATGGGGAGAACAAACCGGGAGAAAAACTTTGCGAGGGACGGGGGGCACAGGGGAAAACACTGAGAGGCCTCGATGGACAACGTGAAGTGGGCCTGCTTGATGCCAAGCAGCTTCAGGACCTACAGGTTCATTCACAAGCTCGCCGTCACTAGCCGTGCAGCCGTCCAGCCGTCCCGCCTGCGCTGCATCAGCGGAGAGCTCCTTGCCAGTTCAGTCTGCGAAAGCAACTGCATCGGCACTTTCAACCAGAGCAGATCCTTTTGGACAAGCTCATGGCCCTACTTCAAGGACTACTAGTAGCCGGTTGTAATGTCTTGGAAGTTGCCCTGTGGCCTTGCCAGCTGTACACACTGTATGATCCCCCAGCAAGTGGATCTTGGCCTGCTTCAATTTTCCACGACTGCAGAAACAAAGCTGAGGAGCAAAGCCGAGGAGCAAGGCCGAAGAGCAAAGCCGAAGAGCAAAGCCAGGAGCATGGAGAGTCTCAGAGGACGCTTGACCGTTCCGGGTAGCCTCTTTGAGGACCGTCGGGAGGCCAAGCTGCCTGAGATGGGCCTGGCTTCCACTACTCACGAGTTGCACGCCACTACTCAGCAAGAACCATAACGTTTAACAAGGCAACTTGACAACGCTCAACCCACCGAACTTGGCCTCTCAAATTTCTGCAACCAAATCATGCCTGTGGCGTGAAAACCTGGCCACAAATGCCCCTGGAGGAACTCTCTTGGAGCGATGCTCAAAGATTAGCACCAGCTTCTCCCATAAACTTTGCAAGTTCCCCCTCATGTGCCCTGTAAACCATAAAACATCGGGCATGACAGCAATATTGGCAGATTTGCTCAGGACGATCCGGTTTCGTCAGTCTCGGAGCATCCGAGGAGCTCATGTTGCACGATGGACAAAACAACTTCGAAGCATACTTCAGACCTGGATTCGCGATCTTTGTTTGAACAACTAAGGATCCGTATCTGTTGAGGCCTCTGCATTGGGCCTCTGCCAAGGGTTCACAAGGCTTTTGGGGTACAAGAAGAATAGTAACGATTGTGCTGATGAGGATGATGAGGATGAAATGGCGTGACAAGGTTTGAGGCTTCACAAGGTTTGACACAGGATGGGGGAGGGAGGGGCCAGTGGCGAGACTTCAGGTAACCGAGGCCGGCCTGGGCACTCCGCCTTCGTGACTGAGAAAACTGGACTGCCGACGCGTCACATTAGCCACATAAATGCATGCCGCCGGCACCTCGATGGAGTGTGGAAGGCTGGCAAGTGCATCGGTGCCTGCGCTCATCCATGTCAACAACCGCCAGTGCATCGACGGGACAGCCACCTTTTGGTAGGACCACCGTGTCAGTTGCCAGAGATCCGCTCCGTGCGAAATCCTGAGACCACTAGACTGTACATATTTATCACACAAAGTTACTATAGCGAACCATGGTACTTACGGTGTGTCATTCTGCTTCGCAGACTGCCGCTGTCTGAGGCAGTCGCACTGGGCCGATAACTCGCAAGAGTCGACTCCACCTGCACCACAGCGTCGAGCCAAGGAAGGGCAACAAGCCCCCGTCAAAAGTCGTGCCTGTTCGGGGGTGGAGCTTGTAAAGAGCAGAGCCTTCAGTCAATTGCTTGGCACGAGACAGTGGGTGGCAACAGACCTAGGTCTCCAACGCAATGACCATTGATCATCTCTGCAATTTTATGCACGTTGTCCTGCCAAGAAGTGCGCAAAAGATACACGGTCATGCGCCTGACAGCTATAAGCAGCATCTGGTTTGGCACTCCTGGCACTCACTTTCAGGGCTCATGCCCAGGGCAGTCTGCATGACCTGCCAGCATGGTACGTAGCATGAGCAGTAGCACACGACACTGATGTGACTTTCCAGCCACAATTCCATATCACATCGCATTCCACCCACCTTGTTCTTGGCGCAAACAAGCTTCCCTGGTCTAAGCCGTCTCCTAAGCTCCTGATCGTATGCAGCTCGATGTTGCCGAGCATGCCCTTTAAAGCCCAGCGGGCGCATTGCAGTTCACGAGAGCTTTGTCCTGCATGAACTGGTTGCGCTCATTCTCGATCGAAACCAAGAAGAGCCTAGAGAACTGTTCGCAGGACCTTCGGCGGAATGTGCAGGGACAAGGGTTGGACCAAAAACTCAGCTAAAGAGCCTACCGGCAGCCTACCGTAGCCTACCTGCTTGCGCTTGTTCCGTGTATTCAAAAGTGTATTCCTGGGCCAATGGCTCGCGTATGCCATCGATGAGCTCATCCTTCTTTTCCTGCGCATTGCATGGCATCGCATATGGCACAAAGCCACAAAGCGTCAGCACAAATATAGCGAGTCTCTTTTGAAGCCGTTCACTGATCCCAAGCCTGCCTTTGGTCGCTTCTTGACTTTGGTCAAGGTGATGACCTTGTTTCTTTTTGACCTGAGGCATGTCGTGGCTGGGCAAAACCACACCTAGTAAAACCCCATCAAGTCTCTTTCAGCTGCCCGATGCTTGCACGAACTCTTTTTGGTGTCGAGAATGGCAAATCTGGAGTCTTTTGTCCCGGGCGACTGTGAGATCGGAAGCATCGAAATCCCGGCTCGAGCCACGGGTTGGGAAAATCTGAACAACTGTACAGGTTCCTCGGCCACAGTCTGGAGTCATATTGCAGAGAGTGGCATACTTTTCATGAGTGCGGTGAAGAACAAAGGCTGTTGTCTCGCAGAGTGAGGCCGGGATCACGTTAACAACGTTTGGCAGCGCAGTGAACTTGGTCGCCTGCGCCACACTCGCAGAAATATGCTTCAACACACGTTCCCGAAAGAACGAGTTCCCACTGCTCCTGCTTCATGGAATGGCCAAGTCCTTCTCCACCTTAAATTTCTGCATAAGCTCTTTCACCTTGCCCGACTTCTTTGCCTGGAGGAGCCATGCTTGGGGCTGTCGGAGACCTAGCCACCTCTTCGCTGAACTACTCATGAACTCAAAAGCTCAAGGTGCCGACTTTGGCTTTGGACTGCTTTGGGCTGCTTTGGGTTGCTGGGAGAAGAGACATCCACAGGGGAGGCATCTGGGAAAAGGCATGTCGTTAATGTGTTGAGGGCGAAAGACTCAAGATGTTGAGCTCTGGTGAGGGACTTGGAGGGCATTTCCACTTCCGCGCCTCTTCGATGAACTCACTGAGCAGCTTGAAACCCTGCTCACGGCCTGGGGCCATTGTCTCTTAACACGTGCCTTAATGCGCTTTCACGACTCGAGCCACTTGCTACTTGCAGCTACGCAATTTGAGGACTTTCCATTGTTGCCAACCTAGTTCAAAGACGTACACCATGGAACTCAATGATGAACCACCGGGCAGCTTGTAATTGTAGTTGAATAACAACATTCGGCAGGAAATTTCTTAACAACCAAAAGGGAGCCTCCTCACCCCGCAGGACGGGGGGTGTGAATTGCGGGCAAGCTAAAAATTTGGGCTGGTTGAGGTTCCAGAGAGTCGAGTGGGGGCCACTAGACCTCGTGATCAGCCACTGCAAATTTTAAACTTGCGCTTCTGTGCCTTTCTTGGTAGCAGCAGCCTGCTCCACAGCCATGAACTTTCCAGGCAGAAGCCTGGTGCCTTTTCGGACAGATTTCTTATCTTCCCTGCCCTCAACATGAAAGGCACGTGCTTCTGCAGCCGTCCTGCCTGGCCGCTTGGCGCCGTCCTTCTTCAACTTCGGGCGCAACCCGGCAACTGCTTCCATGGCTGTTTCCTTGAAATGCGCGTACCTTTGCTGAGACACTCCAAGGATCATTTCTCAACCGCCTCCATGAGGCTGGCAGCCTTCTGCCATCAGCCGAGCTTCGTGGCATCATGGCCTTTGATTTTCTCGAGGGTGGCATTCTTTAAGTTGCGCTCAAGCCATAACACCTGGGATAGAAACAACAATGCGCGAAAGAGAGGAACCACTCTGTTTGCACGAATACGATTAAGTCCGACACATAAGCTGCCCCTTCACAACCAGCAATGCGTACACCAGCTTTGTCCACTTCAGCACACGTGCCTCATGAGCTGGCAGTGCAAGTGATTGTCCAAGCCGATGATGCCATTTAACTTCACAAGAAGCACAAGGCCAACGCATGCATTATCATGCATTCTGCTGCAAACTAATATATATGCAGAGGGAACACGCAGCCCCGAGGTGGTAGGCACAGCCTTGGATTGGCTGGGTAATCGTGAGCTGGCTTTACACTTTACACTACAGCGGCACGCTCATCAAACATGCATCTAAAAGACGTAGGTGGCCTCGATCTGGCAGTAAGGGGCCGTAAAATCAATAAATTCTGCCCGAGCAGGATCGGCACCGATCATTGCAACATCCCACTTGTCCTCTTTCCTCGATGGCAGCGAACGCTAGTGAATGCCTCCACTCGTAGATTCGCTCACTCAAACGAACACCTCAGGCTCCGTCGCATCATCAGCCAGCTTGTCAGCAGACTCGTAAGGCACAAACCTTGGAGAAGGTGCTTTTGAAGTAGAAACAACAAGAGGATGATTTAACGCGCAATGTCAGGACCTTTTGAGACAGTCATGCACCATGGCCATGTCACCCTTCAAAACCGTTGATCCTAAAGGATAACAAGCCTCGCTCAGCAAGACAAAATTTTGCCGTTTCTGAGCTTGTTCATCACCCCACCGCCCCTACCGACCCCTGTCCTACCGTCGGCCGCAATTAAACGACTACCCTGTCTTGAAGATCTTGGCGTAATTGATGATCACTATGCTATGCCCAATGTACCACCCTGCACCCCCAGTGACCCCACCTTTTGGTACCGTTCCTCACCGCCCAGCGCTCTGCCATTGACCCCAACCCCTTAGCATGGATTCCGTGCCAGGTTCAGGTACAAATGCAAGCGCATCGGTATTCTGAATCTCACGCTCACTTCATCGCCTGGGCATATTTTGCTTTAAGAATACTGATAATACTGTACCCAAAGTCCGTGATTATTGGCATTGTTCGGTGCGGCACCGCCAGGCGCCAGCCTCGTTCAATGCCCTGCCGTGGTCCAGTCAGTGCGGAGAGGATGAATTTGATATAAATGAATTTAAAAAAGAAGCTGATAAAATTGAAAAAAGATATAAAAGTAATAAAAATAGAAAGGATAAAGATATCAGTGATGATGAAGATGATAATGTTTATTAAATAAATTAATTTTATCATTTTGTATTATAAATGATATACTTTGTATATTATTTGTAATAATAATATTTATATCTGTATTAAATTCATATTTAATTGAAACTTTTAATTTCATATATGTATAACAATATTGATTTAAATCATTATTATTAAATATATATGAAAATATAAAACCATTTAATTTATTTATTTTTATAATATTATTCACATTTTTATTTTTTGATAATTAATATCATTTTTAATCCATCAAAATCCTTTTGTGTTTTAATATTATCTTCATTAATTAATTCTTTATCTAATTTAGTTTTATTTAAAATAGTCCCAATATTTGGTATCATTATCATTATATTCTGTTAAATATGATATTTCTTTGCCTGATTCACATAAACCATTTAATATATATTTTAAATTTGGTATTATATTCATATTTTTATTAAAATATAATTTATTTATTGTACAAACATCTGGAAATTTTGGATTCATATCAAATTCAGATAAAGCAGATGATATATGGAAAAATAAAAATGTTTTCTTTAAAGGTTTATATTATGGTAAAGCAACTACTGTATTTGGTATATTTATCTTTTATATTGGATAATAATAAATATAAATACACATACAGATAACATTTATATTAACAGTGTATGAAATTAATACCCCTTTAAACCAAAACAAGTCTTCCGCGCGGTTCTCTTGATTCTTTGGCACTCATCACCTACACTTTTGGGCACGAGTTCCAGGCTCCACAGAGGCCTTGAGCGAGCCCCCGCACACACCATGGCACCTTTAAAACGCACGCGCGGCTCTGAAGGGGTGAGCATCATGAGTATCAGGAGGGCTCGGGGGCTGAAAACACTGTATGAAAAACACCTTGTTCCCAAGCTTGACATCTTGAACCGTGTGGCTTGAACCCCACACCGATCGAAAAGTAAGTGACACCGTGTCACCCCGTGGCCTTGCGAAGGGGTCATACGTTTGGAAGCTGATGCTCGCCCTGCAACCTTTGCTCATAATGCTTGCTGCAAGGCAAATATTGGGCCTGGCAGCTGATGCTCATGATGCTCGCCCCCGTTTGGCAGCTGAGAGTCATGATGCTAGTGCGGGTGAGCAATGGTGCGCACCAACACATCGTTTCTGCTACCTACGAACGCCACGAGGCGAGTATGAACTTGCTCGGCTTGCTGCGGCCCGAAGTCGACCGTGATGTGATGGTAAGATGATCAACTGATGATCACACTGTGCGGGCGTGGCAGGGTTCGGAGTGGTTCGACTGGTTCGGGAACAACACGGCATTTTCCATGTCGACCTCCCACATGATTGATACGCGAACATAATTTACAGATGGAACGGCATACCTGCTCGCAGTATTCTCGTCGTTTGAACTTTCGGTTGCCTGAAGCAGGATAAGAAGCAAACTGAGCTGACAGTGAACTTGAAAGACCGCCGGACTTGACTTGGGGACGATTTGAAAGCAGTGGGAAACTCTTGAAACGATGCTAGCGATCTGGTACAGTACAGTGCTTGTACCAATACCAGCAATACAGTACGGGTCCAAGGCACTCCACTGGAACGCCGAGCTTCTCAGCAAATGCAGCGCCCATAGATGGCGCCAGACCCTGCGACTTTACAAACCATACAACCTAACACAACCTAATGTAATTGCACCCTACACTGCACCATCTTCACAGCTGGCACGATCGGCAGGCCATGGCGAAAATCCAGACCAACGCGCTGGCGTGTTGTTTCAAGTGCCAGCCTCCGGCTCACCACTTGCCGATTTGCCGCTCACCAAAAGCTCGTTTCGCCTCTGGACTCAGGCAACTGCAGGATGACTGAAGTGCTTTTCTCAGGAACAACTGCAGCGGCTGGGTATAATCTGGGCCCTTGACATGTTCAGAGCAACGCGGAGCTTTCCTGTCGGGGCCATCTCCTGCCAAGCTGCTGAGACGTGTTTGCTGTAGATTTCTTTAAGCCTCTCAGTGTTCCTCTCTTCCTTCTACTGCACAAGACTCGCAAGACACGAGTTTAGATGCAAAGGCCTGGGCAACTTGCGCCGCGCAGGGCGTCGCCACGATGTGCCCCGCCAGGACTCGTGTGCGGTGCATTGGAGAGCTCTCAGATGAGATCTACGTCCCCTACTTTCCCTTCTTTCCCCTCTTCCCCACTTGTCCGCGCTTAGAGCCATTTGTGGGCCACAGCGAAAGTGCGGTCTCGAGAACTCCACGAGTACGGCTAAGACAGGAAGCCACGACAAACCCAAGGCCCACACTTTGGCATGGCAGGGCCACAGCTGCGGGGAGCTATTGGCGAAGCTATCGTTGGTCCAAAGTCAGAGGATGCAGGATGCGCTGCCGTGACTCAGCAATGCAGGTTTGCACAGATCAACACAGATCAACTTAAACGTGTTATGTTTTCTCCGAATTTCCCCGACAGAGAGGCCTGTGACGTGCAGCAGGAGACCCTGAGAATCGTGGTGAACTTTGGCGATGCGACTGTTGCGTTGGACGACGTGCCGCAGTGCGGGCTTGGCATTGACTGGTCCGGATGGATGCAACCAAGGGTGTGCCCGCCAGTCAGTTCATTCGTGGAGCCGCTTCTCCAATGAACTCGCTCACGTCAACACAGCCTGGTCATGCTCCACGTACTGACAACAAAGAGCGTCGGTTGTGGGCGTTGCCGGCTGCTCGTGCTACTGTCTGGGTGTGTTTCTGGGAAGCCATGCCTGCTGGCGAAGTTCGAGTCGCAAGATGACCCGTTTAAAGGGGGACTCCTGCTCGTGCTATCACAGCGCAGGCTTCGAAGCAAAAAGAAGGGCTTCCCTTGCTTTGTGAAACCGAATCCGGTGGGGTTCCCTGGTCCTTTAATACCCCGGTTTTGTCGCAAGCCCGAGCTAGAAAGAAACAAAAAAAAAACACGCTATTCCAGTGATTTCCAGTGACATGTTGGGCCGTCTAGGCTTGAGCCTTCAGCCTGACCTTTTGCTACGCACAAGACTTGTCAACACCACCGCCAGCTGTCGGTCCCAGGAAGGAGTGTAAGAAGCCACACTTTTGTCCCAGGCTGCGCCGACGTGTGCAGCTGCATTACATACCTACAAAGGCAAAGGAGACAGGCACAATCTCCAACAACACACAGCAACAAGAGCAACAATCAGATTCGAACGCTGGGTCAAACACCAAGCAAGGCATCGTGGTATGCAGCGAGACCTGCTTTTGGGCACGCAGCTGTAATGATACAAGACGAGAAGCACGTGCAGACAATGGAGTTCACTGGCAATTCTTCACAGCAAAACGTCAGCCTGTGGATGACTCTGCAGCTTCGCCACCGTTCGCCTCGCAGCGTCTGCTCCCAAGAAAGCGCTCCTTGCCTGAACAAACGAAGGCCTCGGGAGCTGCTGCCCCTGCTGCGGCTGCGTCGGGTTCCACAGCCGCGAGCTCATCAAGTTCGCCTACAATACTGCTGGATTGAACTCACTGTTGCGCGGCACTGGGTACTGACCTGGAGGCACATCAGCTGCTGATTTATCGTCTGCCCCACGCCGCTGTCTTCGCCTTTGTCGCTTCCACGGCGCCTCTTGCATTGAACAAAACGCAAAACCTAGGTGAGCATCAGAGCAAATGCACTGGCCGTGTGCCTCGGCATCGTCACCGTCAGCCTTGCCAAACTGAGCAGAGTTGGTGTCTCACACAAAGTGCCATGGAACATTCAGTCTTCCAGTGCCTCGGCATCATCACCAGGGGCCTGTGATCACGTGCATGGATGTGAATTGCTACATTTCGAATAACCGAGCGTGCGTTGTCAAAAATCATGGCCGGAAACGTCCTTATCAACTCTCCGGTCAAGCCACCCCTTCCCCCAAGCGTCAGTGGTTTTCGCGCTTGCGATCAGGTCTCATGGTCGCCGGCACGCGTGCTGTAAATGATGCGCCGATAAACAAGGCACATGAGCAACATTTCGTCAAAAGTTGGCTGGCATGAAGTCTGTTAAGAAAGGGTCGGGTCTGCAGTGCAGAGAGGGTTTGTGTGAGTGTACGGATTCGGGCTCAAGTGCTTATTTACGCGCCGGGGGCGTGTACGGTGCATACCGAACCACAGCCCTCAGACAGTCGCCGCTGTGTAAAGCGTCGATCGCTTGCTTCTGACCTTTCAGGTCACCCATGACCAGGGTTTCAAGCATTGGCGCACGGTGTCCATCGACCAGCTACGGAGAGCAAAGCACGGCAAAGCGGCCTTGCATGCCTTCAAACCTATGAGTGATGAAGTGGTCGAGGACAATTTCCCCTTTCATGGCCTCGAAACACCAACGAACATTGAAACGCTGATCTATGTGCCCGGCTGACATGTCCATTGAAAAAGCTTCCGCGCAGCCTTTTCCACCAGCATAGGGATGGCATCTCGAGTTTTCCAGCCCCCAAATGCCGTGCCCAACCAGCGACGGCCGGTGACCAGTTGGAAGGGGCGCGTTGAGAGCTCTTTGCCTCACCACGAACCCGTCACAGTCAACAGCACAAAATCTCGCCTGGGGCATACTGCGCTTAAAGAAAACATCGCTTCCAGCCTGCAGCTGCCACGCCGATCACGCAGCTCTGACCCCAACCTCTGTGAGAGGCCTGTGCTGAGCTGTGCTGGAGTCAATTGTGCCCCCTATGCCTGTGCATGTGTCTCTGCCTCTAGGCAAGCCCGCATGACATCAACATTGCCAGTGCAGTCGAATGTGTAATCATAGCCGAACTTGGTGGGGCTCATCTCAACCAACACCTCAGCCACGTCAGCGTCCGGGCTGCACATTTGACAAGCAACCCAGCCTGCTGGATAGGCTTGTCGTAATCCTTTGGATTGATGCATTCTGTGCATCCCAACCTCAAATGTCATGCTTGCGGGGCCTTATAGCAAAGGCTGGTCTGAAAGGTGGGAAGGTTGTAATGTGTGAGTGAGGGAGTGAATGAATGAAGTGAATGAACGAAGTAAGTGACACAAAAGCCCATTGAGTGATTTTACAAGCGCCGAATTTAATGAGTACATCTAATGTCTGCCGAAGCCCCGTATGGACCCTGTGGAGGTCCCCCAAACCCACAAAGACCGCCTCTATCTCGCAAGCTACGCCAGATGTGCGAGGAAAAAATGACAAAATCATCTAAGCAATGGGCCTAGAAAAGGAATGTCATCAGTCACCATTTTCTCACAAGGGCTGCGCCAGCAAGCATTCGAGCTCATTGAGCTGGAGCTTCCAATCCCCCAACGGCCCCAATGTACTGTCTCTCAAACTATCTCTATGTATCTCTTCCTTTCTATTTCTGTTCGTTCAAAACAAACTGGCAATGATGAGGGTTCTGTTGCAGCCCTACCCGCTGCAAGCACTCAGCCTCGTTTGCTTGGCTAATGTTTTGCGTTTCGCAATTTCGGGCATCGCACCGTTCGCGAGTAGGCCCCACGGCCATTCGACATTCCAACTGCTTGGAGTTGCCTCTTCTCTACGGTACCTTCTGCACGGAACAACCGAATCACAAACACCAATGTCGCTCATTGAAGCCCACTCACTCGCGTCAGAGAGAGCACTCGAATCAGAAGAGCCGCTGCGTTGCAATGTCGAACTTCTTGGGGTTCGTGTCGACTCCGACAATTTTGCAGCAGTTCAAGGCCTTGCAGCCCTGAATAACCGCCAGGCCAACAGCTCCAAGGCCAAAAATCACCACGGTCGAGAAAGGATCAACCTGAGCACAGGACGAAGGCAAAGGGCGCTGGGCAAGTAGGATCTCTAGATTCTCTTCATTTTCTAGCAGCTCTAGCATGAGTTTCATCAAAACTGGCCTTTGCACTGTTCCAGACAGCGCCCAGTCCAGTTGCTATGCCGCAGCCAAACAAGCACATCCTTAGCTTTAGCAAGCTCAGCCTTCGCTCTACACACGATGACTTGAGTGGCAAAGCAGTGTGAAGAGCCAAGAGGCTTCTCCAAGTCAGCTTCTGGATTGATTTTCGCGCAGGAAATCTCAGCAAGCACGGTGTACTCTGCAAACCTTAGCGCAGCGCGACATGGATGACAGGACTTAGAGACTTGGACTTTTCCGTTTTGTGAGTCTGAGTAGCGTTGAGCAGCCCATGAAGTGATAGAGCGTCGTGCCATCCTGCTGGGGCCAAGAAATGCTTTCAGCAATGCTTTGAGAAATGTTTTAAGAGACTTAAGAGTCCAGGAGCACAGGAGCCTTGAGGGGAGCAGTCTTAAGAAGCACCGCACCTTCTTGAGTGTGAATCTGGAAGTGCCATCTGGCATGACGCCCTTGCCCTGTGTGCCGCGGATCTTTGGGCACAGGTTGGTCTTTGGGCTCATGCAGAAGATGCAGTCGGAGCCCTGCCAAGTCATGCGGCGAGTCAAGTTGCCTTTGAGCAGCATCAGCCATGAGCCTTGCACTGTGGCGTGTAGCCGGGCACGATGTGGTCACCGGGCTGTACGGACTGGACGCCTTCCCCGACGGACTCGACAATGGCTCCAGCCTTTGACTTCAAGATGACCGAAAGCAGTGACTGATAAAAGCGTCCACACCACCAGTGCCCACCCCTCATCCACCGAGACGCCTCATGGCCGAGGATGGAGGGAAACAAGCCCTCAGGATCCTGGCCAGAGAGCCTCTGCAGAAAGGAGCTCAAAATTATGCAGGCGAAGACCCCAAACAGTAAGATTGTAGAGAAAGGGAAAAGAGAAAGGGAAACGCGTGAAACAACAGCGCGACATAAAAAAATTGACAGGTGTTTAGGGTTACCCTAAACTTCAGCGCCGGCCCCTTAATAGGTGAGTCATGCAGCAGAGTCAGAACCCAAAGGCATGGACATGTTTCATGCCTTTCGTTCTTGGCCTAAAAAGGAACAAGCGCGCAAACATTTATGTTGTTCCCAACGTTTGCACTTTCCGAACACCGTAGAAGAAAAAAAACGTAGAGGTTTGTCGAATGTCCCCTCCCTTCGCAATCGTAAGGTTTGGTGAGGGCCTTAGGAGTTTGTCGCATGTCCCCTCCTTTCGTGCTCGTAGGGTGACCCCCTCGAGGTTAGGCCTGAAAGGCCTAGAACCATAACGTGCTTGAAGGGCCCAGCGTGTGAGGTTGAAGGTTTCAGAGAGGCGTCTTGGTGGGTCCTTGTGTGTGCGACAAGACTGGGCGTGTTCAACTAGCATCCTGCTTTTTGGGAACCGAGCGTACTCAAACAGCACCCAAGTTTTGGGGACCGAGCATGTTCAACTATCATCCTGCTTTTGGGGACCGAGCTTACTCTTACTCCAATAGCACCCAAGTTTTGGGGACCGAGCGTGTTCAACTAGCATCCTGCTTTTGGGGGCCGACCCAAGTTTTGGGGACGGCACTTTCAGAACACTGTAGAAGTAAATACATATCCTTTCGAGATTTGTCGTATGTGCCCCCCGTTTGTGCTCGTAGGGTTTGGTGAGGGCCCTCGAACTTCGTGCTCGTAGGGCGACGTCGTACGCAACTAGCGCCCTGATGAACCATTTTGCTCGCGTCATGGCGCGAGTTATTTGGTCGCAGGGGAAACATCTAAGTGTTTGTGTTGATAACGTAAGCGTGGCCCCATAACCCGCCTGCACTGTAAAACCGCTTTATCAACTAACCTCTAGGGCCCTCACACTACAAGCACGAAGCGACTTGCGATTCTAGGGCCCTCACCAAACCTTAGCACGAAGGGAGGGGACATACGACAAACCTCTAAGGGAGATGTTTTTACTTCTACAGTGCTCTGAAAGCAAAAACATTAGGAAAAACACTGGATGTTTTTGCGCTGGTACACCCTAGTGAGCCGCGATTACGTTACCAGCACACAAGGGACAAACATCTCTAACTACTTAAACCACCTTTTGTGTCGGGCTGCGACACCTTTCGCAGAGCAAGAAGAGATGGATAAAAACCCTGCATGCTCTGCGAAAAAAGTTCTCTACAAGCGCAAAAACATCCTATGTTTTCCTAACGTTTGCACTTTCAGAACCCTGTAGAAGTAAAAACATACCCCTTGGAGGTTTGTCGAACGTCCCCTCCCTTCGTGCTCGGAAGGTTTGGTGAGGGCCCCAGAAGTTTGTCGCACGTCCCCTCCTTGCCTGAAAGCCCTAGAACCACAACGTGCTTGAAGGGCCCAGCGTGCGAGGTTTGAAGGTTTCGGAGGGCGTTTTGGTTGGTCCTTGTGTGTGTGCGAAACGACTGAGCGTGTTCAACTAGCATCCTGCTTTTGGGGGCCGAGCGTACTCAAACAGCACCCAAGCTTTGTGATTCAGAACAGTGTAGAAGTAAAAACGTATCCCGTAGAGGTTTGTCCCATGTCCCCTCCCTTTGTGCTCGTAGGGCTTGGTCAGGGATGACCAAATAGCTTGCGCCATGGCGCGAGCAATTTGGTCGTTTTCAGGCTGGTGTTCTGCGCCCTAAAGCCTGTGGCCCTATAGACCGCCTGCATTTAAAACGGCTCCACAAGCCTGTGCTGGTAACTTAATCGTGGCCCCATAGCCCGTCGGCACTCTAAGGCCCTCCCAAACCCTAGCATGAAGGGAGGGACGTGCGACACCCCAGCACGAAGGGAGGGGACATACAACAAACCTGTAAGGGAGATGTTCTTACTTCTACAGTGCTCTGAAAGCAAGACTGGATGTTTTTGCGCTGGTACACCCTAGGGAGCCGCGATTACGTTACAAGCACACAAGGGATAAACATCTCTAACTACTAAAACCACCTTTTGTGTCGGGGCTGCGACACCTTTCGCAGAGCAAGAAGAGTTGGATAAAACCCTGCTTGCTCTGCGAAAAAAGTTCTCTACAAGCGCAAAAACATCCTATGTTTTCCTAACGTTTGCACTTTCAGAACCCTGTAGAAGTAAAAACATATCCCTTGGAGGTTTGTCGAATGTCCCCTCCCTTCGTGCTCGTAAGGTTTGGTGAGGGCCCCAGAAGTTTGTCGCACGTCCCCTCCTTTCGTGCTCGGGCCCCTAGAAGCCTAAGGCCTGAAAGCCCGAGAACCACAACGTGCTTGAAGGGCCCAGCGTGCGAGGTTTGAAGGTTTCGGAGGGCGTTTTGGTTGGTCCTTGTGTGTGCGAAACGACTGAGCGTGTTCAACTAGCATCCTGCTTTTGGGGGCCGAGCGTACTCAAACAGCACCCAAGCTTTGTGATTCAGAACAGTGTAGAAGTAAAAACGTATCCCGTAGAGGTTTGTCCCATGTCCCCTCCCTTTGTGCTCGTAGGGCTTGGCCAGGGATGACCAAATAGCTTGCGCCATGGCGCGAGCAATTTGGTTGCACGGGAAACATTTATGGTGTTTTAACATGTTCAAACACGTTTTCAGGCTGGTGTTCTGCGCCCTAAAGCCTGTGGCCCAAACGGCTCCACAAGCCTGTGCTGGAAACGTAATCGTGGCCCCATAGCCCGTCTGCACTCTAGGGCCCTCCCAAACCCTAGCATGAAGGGAGGACGTGCGACACCCCAGCACGAAGGGAGCGGACATACGACAATCCTCCAAGGGATATGTTCTTACTTCTACAGTGCTCTGAAAGTGCAAATGTATGGAAAACAACGGATTTTTTGCCCTGGTACACCCTATGGAGCCGCGATTACGTTGCCGGCAAGGGATAAACATCTTTGTTTACTGAAACCGCCTTGCTTTAGGACTGCGAAACCTTTTTGCAAAGCAAGAAGAGTTAGGTAAAAACCCTGCTTGCTTTGCGAGAAAGTTTATACAAACGCAAAAACATCCTATGTTTTCCGAATGTTGAGTAAAAACATATCCCTTTGAGGTTTGTCGTATGTCCCCTCCCTTCGTGCTCGTAGGGTTTGGTGAGGGCCCTAGAAGCGTGTCGCATGTGCCTCCCTTCGTGCTCGCAGGGTGAGGGCCCCTAGAGGCCTAAGGCCTGAAAGCCTAGAACTAACCATACCATACCATACCATACCGTGCTTAAAGCGTCTTGGTTGGTCCTTGTGTGTGCGAAACGACTGAGCGTGTTCAACTGGCTTCCTGCTTCTTGGGGACCGAGCGTACTCAAATAGCACCCAAGTTTTGGGGACCGAACGTGTTCAACCTATTGTTTGGGGACCGAGTGTACTCCAAAAGCACCCAAGTTTTGGGGACCGCACTTTCAGAACACTGCAGAAGTAAAAACGCATCCCTTAGAGGTTTGTCGTATGTCCCCTGCCTTTGTGCTCGTAGGGTTTGGTGAAGGCCCTCGAACTTGTCGCACGTCCCTCCTTTCGCGCTCGTAGGGTGACGTCGCAAGCAACTAGCACCCCATCTGCGCCCTGATGACCAAACCGCTCGCGCCATGGCGCGGGCTATTTGGTCGCAGGGGAAACATCCATGGTGGTTTAACACGTTAAAACACAAGTTGTCACTCCGCACTCGTCGGGTGACGTCGTAAGCAGCTAGCACCCCATTTGCGCCTGATGACCAAATAGCTGGCGCCATGCGCAGGGGAAACATGCAGGGTCCATGGTGTTTTAGCATGTTAAAACACAACTTCTCAGGGCTGGTCGCAGGGGCATATTCACAACCCTTCTGGAGCCACGATTACGTTACCAGCACAGGGATAAACATCTCAATGTGCTAGGGAACGCGTTTTACTAGTCGGGGGCATAGTCACAACCCTTATGGAGACACGATTACGTTACCAGCACAGGTTTTTGGGTTCATCGTAAGCCACTGGCACCCCATCTGCGCTCTGATGCCGGGTTTCAAGCTCGGCTTTCAAGTTGGGCTCCACAGGGGCATGTTGCCGACTGTTGGCCGGACCCGGGCTTCAGGGCTCATCAGGGGCATGTTGGCCGGGTCCGGGTTTCAAGGTGGAGTCGCCAGGGCCACGTCCGGGTGTCAAGTTGGGTTCGACAGGGGCATGTTGGCCGGATCCGGTTTCAAGTTGGGTTCAACAGGGAAGTTGGGCTCATCAGGGGCATGTTGGCCGGATCCGGGTTTCAAGTTGGGCTCAACAGGGGTATATTGGCCGGATCCAGGTTTCAATTTGGGCTCGACAGGGGTATGTTGGCCGGATCAGGACCGTGGGAGATTGCGATCATGATCGGAGACCATGGGAGATCGCGGACCCAAACCGCGTGACACCCTCCCAACCCCGTCGCTCATGATCGGAGACCGTGGGAGACCACGGACGAGAACCGCGTGACACCCACCCGGCCCCAAAGTGCGTTTGCTGGACATCCGCAAACCCATTTTCTTCCTGAGCATATTTCCTCACTAACCTTGTACAGTCGCATCCCGCAGCACCCACATATGAGCAGCGCATACGCAACTTACACAGCGATTTGGATATTCTGTTCGCAGCTCAAAACCCAAATCGTGCGATTTGTGATTGGGGCACACTTCCACAAGCAATTGGAAGGCGATTTGGGGTTTGCGATTCCAAATCGCTAGCGTTTTGCGATTTGCGATTTGGCCTTCTACATCCCTGGAGCGCCCGCCCCTAGAGAAGCCCGCAAAGTATCCCTGGAGTGCCCCCTCTGGAGAAAGAGAACCAGACCACGGACCCAACCGCGTGACACCAATCTAGCCAAGCGCGTGACACTTTTTTTCCTGAGGAGAGGACCCCAAACGGTTCCTGTTTGGGGAAAAACCGAACGTGGAGCCACAAAGTGACACATTTCATGCAAGCGGCGTGTAAATATCCGTGTGGCAAAGGGCGTTACCTCAAAGTTGCGGGCATCTCATCACAAAGACGACTGCACTGCGGTGTCGCAACAGAAGCAACGAATCGCAACGTGTCGTCGGATTTCTGGGATTTTCTGAGCCAAAGCGCAGATGACCTTGACACGCACCTCACCGGCCTTAGGAGGGGCTACGACGATCTCCTCGCAACATCTCGGGACATGTGCTCGGATCACTCAGATCATGATCTCAGATGATCTTGGGCAAAAAGACTTGATCATTGAGATGACAAACGGTGCAATACGGTGCGACTGTCCGCGCAGCAAGGGAAGGGTCCTCCTCTCTAAGGTCGTTCACACCAAAAGCGACCATGGCTTTGCAATTAATCGGCTTTCCAGCCGTGTCCGCCATGCGTCTGAAGGGCACCACAAGCGGCAACGTCCTATTAATCTCAGAGCCCGCGCTGCACCAGATACCAAATGGAAACTCTGGAGCATCAGCACCTGCAACACAAATCTGGATTCCCGCCTTTCGCTTCTGCGGGTCACCCAAGGTCTGATCAACAAAAACATAGGACTTGGAACCGGTGCTTAAACTTCCACAAGTCAGAGGCCGCGACGCTCAGCACAGCAGCGGCAGGCGGTGGTGTGAGTGGCGTCTGAGCTGCATTGCGATCACTGGGATTGGCTGCTTGATGGGAGCCTACCACCCAGACTTGACCAGAGCGGAGTGGTGGAAAGACCACCACGAAGCAAAACCATACAGGGTATCCCCCAGTACACGCGCCCTCCAGACACGCATGAGTATTTCGTATCTACACGTAGAAAAACATGTCTTATTTACTTTTCATATCTGCTATTCAACTATACATTTTGTTCCACGCCCCGACCCCGAACATACCTTTTTCAAGGACAGACTAGCTTTATCTATGTTTTTACCTTGAATTCGCCTCCACACTCATGAAAAGATTGGTAGACAGATGTTTTCCAACTTCCCAAAGATTCTGGAGCAAAACGTCTGAGTGGCCAGATTCATGGGAAACATTGGTTTTTTCCAATGAATGAGGGGACCGACTTCTTGGAAAACGTGGGTTTCACCACTGTTGTCCAACATTGGTGTGTGGTTTCTGGAAGTATTCATCTTAACGGCCGTATCATGCAAGACATTGGTTCACCAATGCTCATGGAATTCAACATTGGTTTTACCTATGTTCGTTTCAGAAAGATCTCCAGGGTCTCCGGCACATAGTTCCAGAACTCTAGAGAACGCTCATGTTTTGGAAAACATTGGTAAACATTGTATTTGCACGAACTCGCCCTCCAGCCCTCCAAATGCATGAACAACATTGGTTAGCGTAGTGCCCCCCCCCCCCCCACGAAAGTATACTAATTTACATATCTGATACTTCGCAAGTTGTTTGATGATTTCTGATAAGACAGGATTTTTGACAAAATATGACTTAACTTTAAACAGCTGCCATTTAATGTCTTAATGTAAACAGACTGCCGACCTCCAACTATGTTAGCCAAAAATGCTATATCATTTACATATTGACACGAAATTGACCGGCCGACTTCTGATGTCACTAGATGGAAAAAAGTTTACCTCAAAATTTGTGCTAATCAAATGAGGTAACTTGTTGAAGTTGTCAACTTGGGGGATCGAACGCACGAGTTCTGATTACGTGTATGATTCTATAAGCTCTATTACTTAAGTTGATGAAACGACTTGTTCTCGGTGAACATGATTTGTTGTAACCCTAGTTATATTACTTATCATCAAGCGACAGAGTGTTCATGTCTTCATGTAAATCGTGTAGCATCGGAGGTCCGATCATGTCAGCCACAAACCAGGTTCTTTACGCATTAACTTGGGAGACCTTCTGCCATCAATAGACTTACTCGATTAGTTCAAGTTCTAGGAATGAAACTGATGAAACTAGTGTTCAGGTAGTGGACATATGTAACTATCATCTAATTACCAGAATTAATAGCCCCAAAACACAGTATTGACATAAATTTAATCGACCCGCTGATGATGTCACTAAAGACGAAACCTCTGAAATTATGCTAATTAAATCTTGCTTTTGATTAACGGGAACGAATCTCATTGCTTGAGACCTTCCATTGTGCTGAAATATTGACAGCAATGTCATGCGACTGAGTGTAGTTGCGTGGGTGACTTTTGACAGGCGAGGGTTACCCGTACACAGAGCAGATAGGCGCACTACTGAGTTACTACTGGCATCTTCACTGGAAAATGCTATGTCATCGGATGTTCCCATTGCAGGCTTGAAAGTCACAAAAGAGGTTCGCTGCCTGGGCCGCAGGTGGCCTGGGCAATGGCACAGAGGCAGCTGCCTCGGCACAAGGTCTCGACTGCACCCCAACAGCACTGCCAGGCTCTGCCAAATCTAGGCCCAGAGCAACTGCGCAGGGCTGGGTCGCCATGAGCTGCCGGTGGGCATGCAGCCTGCAGGCGATTTCAAAGAAGCTTTCAGCCGCTCAAGAAGGTGCATGTGGGTATAACTGAGTATGAAACGCCGCAACTCTGGCTGCATTGCTTGTGAGAGGATTGACCTGACAACAGCGAGGTCACACTCGGCTAGACAATGACAACGCGAAGTTGGACTCTGCTTCACTTTGCACGTTTGCATCAGAGGTATCATCAGCACGAGGTGCAGGCCGGGTCAGGACGCGCTAGTCCTTTGCAGGGAGGAAGTTCAGCGGAATAGACCGGAACCGAGCTTGGATGTCTGCATCTGCAGGTCCTACAAGCTGTGCATTTCGTTGCTGATGTTGCTGAAGCAAGCCTCAAAAGCACTGTGCAAGCCATGTCATCACGCCATCGTGAAAGTCTTAGCAAAGACGTTCGCACTGAACTACACAAAGAGACGGGAGCGCGACCTTGCATTTGGATAAGGAGCTGCATCAACTCCTGCAGATTTGCAGTCGTTGATTCTAACGGTGCTGATGTGACACTTTATCGCAACTGCCTGGTTCTCTCGCTCAAGTCTTTCCATGCGGCTCATCACCTAGACAGGCACGCATCCATCAAATCACACAGGCAGCAGAAGGAACGTCACCAACATTGATCCCGGGACCTTTGAAATCCTACTGGTACAAGCTAGGACTGCAACATTACTGCACTATTATTGTGCGAATCTGGGCACGCAACGAATTTGGGAACGCCACAAGCAATGCGTTAAGCATGGGGATTTTTTCATGAAACCTGACGTGAAGATCTCGCTAGCTGCATTACCAACAAGGACATCATACAGGCTTCTATGAAGCACAAGGCAAGGACATCTGAGAGGCGCCCTCCGAGCATCACCACAGAACGGCAGCGTCTTCGTTAATGGACTGCCACAATGTGCATCCAAACCCTGCTCTGGTCACAGCTTAACGTCACGGTGCGGACGTGTCCACGCCCACATTTTTTGCATGTAGAAGGCTTCGTCAAGCACACCAATCACAGCACCACTGAGCCCCTGAAGCCTCACTAAGCAATAGCGGGGAATGCATGGAAGAGCTTGCACTTGGCGCCAAACCATCTGGAAAGCCTCCAGCTGTCTTCCAGAGAGGCCTTGCATGGCCTGTGCCAAAGCTTCGAGATGCTTCGAGTAGCGGCGAGTTGGGCTCAGGCTGTTCCGGTTCGGGGGGGGGAGATTGAAGTGATTCATGAGATTCGCACACTTCGCACACGCTTCTTCACTTCATCGCTTCACGTCGCTTCCAATGCCGGTGTTTTACCAGCCTGTGAGACTTACATGGAGGCACGAAGCCTCCCGTTGGCCAAACATGGGCCTGCGCAGTTGAAAAACGGATCAGTGACCGCATTCCAGATAGCACTGGCTTCTTGCGACCTGATGGGCTTGGCGGGCAGATTGAAGTGTCCCCAGGTTTCGACAGAAATCGAAAGTAGCAATGATTTCAACAAGCGCAGAGTCGTGTCAGGCTAGGGCATCGATGAGGCTCAGAAGATTCTTGCAGGCCGCAATAGCTGCCAGGGTCACTTTTGCTAGACGCAAATGTCTAGCAAATAGGAATACGCTCTTGAATCATGTCGGGAATGCCTTTGGAAGGGCCTCAAAAGGCCGCAAGAGGAGAGGATCAAAAAACTCTGCTCAACACAACTGCCTCTACCTTGCAATCTGAGCACGACACACTCTCGCGACGTCGTCCTCTCACCCCAGTCAGCTCAGAAACAGTGTAACTTGGCTACTTGCCAGAGCACACTGGACTTTGCCAAGCTGCATAGAATAAGGCCCGTGTGAGAAAGACATGGCATCTCCATCTCCATGAAACATGCGCCGGGGCTCTCTGTCAAATTCTGTGAATGTGTCGAAACCCACGCGTTCCTGGAACAATCCCGCACACAGCGGATGGTGAGGCATAGTTTCCTGTCCGCATTCTCCTGGCAGGTGCAACTAACCGATACCCATCCTCTGCATCTCCAAAGCAAACTACCTGTTCCCAAAAGATGGACCTTAAGATGCCCGCGCTCCAAAAGCTCTAGAGAAACGACGACCCGAGAGATGCACTTCCAAGCCACCAAGACATCCCGGACATGTTAAAGATGCTTAAATGAATACAGCACTTGAGCGGTATTGAAATCCGAGCAGGCAGCGATAAGGGGGAGAGTGGTGAAGTGAACACAGACTAGGTTGGAGCTAGTAAAGTCCTGAGTCGTCCCGTAGGTGCAAAGCCGACCCTAAATCATGAATTGCGAGTTGTGAATGCCCACGCAGGCATTCCTTGATGCCTCAATGACCTCACTCGCTTCATTCTGAGTGTTTCATGCAAGGCGCTCCCTTCATGCCGAGCACGTCCCGGCCTCTTGAGTCACCCCTGAGTAGCAACGGCTCATGCAGCCTTGCAGACAGATCTACGCAAAGCTTTTCACGAACTTTCAAATGTGAAAAAGTGTTCAATCGCCAGCACGTCCAGCAGAGAGCAGCTGCCCTTCTTGCCAGGCAACCGTACATCTCTGCTGGGTCGCATTTCACCTAAGCAACACTCTGGGACGACCCTCCTCAAGCATCATAAATGCTAGGACCCGGACTAAGCCGGGGTATCGAACATCCAGGGGAATCTCTCTGGTGCTTGGTACTTCCTGCGAAGCTCCAGAAGGAAAGGCTGGCACTCGCTGAATGCACCTGAGCTCCTGGGAGTTTGCTGCCAGAAGGCACACGGCGAGCAGGCGGTGCCCATGTAGGGCCCACGGAGACACCATGCAAGCACCCTCGCACACACGTGGAGGGACGTCTTTGCATGGCGCTACGAGTAACGTCAAAAGTAGTCGATACAGATTTGATGAAGTGTCGCTGTAGAATCGAAATCACACTTTCAGCCCTTGCGGTCCGCTTACCGTCGTGATCCTTCGAGCTTGATTTGCTTGTGAAAACATGCATCAAAAGCAAGAACTTGCCCTGCATTATCTTTACACTGTCCACTCAACAGAGTAAACGGCTGCGCTACACATTATTTCAAGACAATCATCGAGCATCTTCTGGCATGGAGAAAGTCCTTGTACAAGTATTGGAAGATGTTGAGATCGTATCCCTCACGAGAGTAGGCGCCTTGCCTCTGCTGGAGTCAACTGGCGATCGAAATCGTCGGCACTGGCCGCCTTTGCCTGTCGGAGGCTTGGTGGAGCTGTCAACAATTCACGGCTCTTGCCATTGCTCGAACCGCCTCTGCTTTTGCAGTGGCCTTGGGCTTTGGCGGAGCCTCAGCCGAGCAAATTCTCGATCGCCGCACTACAGCGCAAGGATGAGCCAGGGCCAACCAAAGCTAGCGGACAGAACGTTGCGGAGCTTCAGCGTGCCAAATGTCACGACATTCACTGTCACACAGTTTCGGCCTGCTGATCATGTCTCTTCATTCCCCCCCCCCCGCCCCATTTGCGCAAAGGTGTGCAACCGGGAGCACGCTGACGGGCAGGGAAGTCTTTAATATTTTCGTAAAAACTGAAGAGAACGAGCCAAGGTGCTTGTTGCATTGTCGGCTGATTGATCTTCAACTTGCCGGCCTGACACCCCGGAGCGGACAAGTGCAATGCGGCATGACATGATGCAATACGAAGCAAGAAAAACGATGAAAATCTTTGCTGTCCATGAAGTTGAGGCAGAGTTGAGGCCGTCGCAGCTGGTGCTGCAGCCTTTGGTCTGCTGGGCCTTAGAGCCACACAAGTAGCTGACCTTGTAGCTACTTAGCTCAACCCAGCGGAGCCTCAAAAACCAATGAGACTCGCACACAGGCCTTCCCAAGGTCTTGGCCTTGAACTCCTGAGCACATGACATGTTTGAGTGCCTTCGCTGCCCTCGCTCTGCAAGTCTCGCTCTGCTGACTGGCTCTGCTGGGGAGCCTCAAAGTCCACCAGCTTGCACCACGGCTGCCGCAGTGCATTTTTCTGCCGCATTCAGACAAACTGTAGCAATTGTGACATTGCCTGTGTGTGCTCTGCAAACCCTTTAAATCTGCATTCCGCTCCACGGATTCGCCTGCTTCGGATGGACGAGGTAGCGGTCGTACAGGAAGGTGAAGCACGTCTTCAAGTTCTGGCCAAACATACACACACACACAGATTATTTCCAAATAGTCCACATCTTTCCATACACATGCGCTGCATGGCCATCTACAAGCTGGGCATCCGGCCTCACGCTCTCGAAATTGGACCTGAGCCAGAAGTGCGGTTAGTGATGAGTGCTCGGGGTTGCTCGGTGCAAGCAGGTATAGCTTGCTTTTAGGTGAAGACAGCAACGGTGACCGTCGGCTCCCTGTGCTTCAGCGCTTCCGGATCGACCTTCCTGCCAAGAATAGCAGCACTGTGCTTTCTGCGATCAGTCTAGGGCAAGCCCTAACACTGGTCCTGAAGAATACTTCAGCGATCTTCACCTCACTATGATGCTTCGTGTTAGTGCATCCTGCTGACTCATCTGCTCCCTGACATCACTGAACACGAGAATCTGACTGCTCCCCAGGACTTGAGGAAGCCCATCCAGAAGCTGCCAGGATACAAGCCTGCTTCCAACTTGGACCAGTGAGCAGCAAACGCCGCTTCCGAGTCTTTAATCAAATCCAAGCTCGAGACCAATGCTGGCAGTCTTGGCCCTGAAATCTGGGTCCGAAATGATCCAAATCCTCGGCCGCACCGCCCGACCATCAGATTGCACAGCGATTGCAACAGTGTGCTCTGCTCTTGCACTGCTTAGTTCCCGACTGAGGCAACTCCAAGGTAATGGAATCGCATGACCCGCCCTGTCGATGAGAGCATCACTAGTTTCTGTCCGGCCAATGAAGCGCAAGTAAGACTCAAAATTCATATCCCCCTTCACCCCGAAGCAGCCTCTTTGAGACGAGCTGCCAAAGAGCTGATCCTTTCCTGAGTTTCGAAAAAAGGAACGAGGATCATTTTTGTGCTCACCCGTGACACCGTGCTCCTCCCAAGTTCAGTGAGTCCAACTGAATTCAGAGGCTTGCGGAATCCATGTCATCTGAAGTTTCCAAGACCTGCTCCATGCGGCACTGCTGCGCAATGCGTCACTGAGCAAGAGCCGCAAGAGCCACCGCCAAGGCTGCGACATGAACAAAGGTGGCCAACATCTGGTGCTCGGCCACCTGCCACCAGTGAGACCACAAGAAATTGGAGCAAAAAAACACTCGTGCCTCACTTGTATCCACTTGTCCTAGACAGAGCTGGCGCATGCTGGCGCCTCTTTCACATCGCCGACACCTAGGCCTGGCAGCACAGAATTAAGGCCCAGAACGAAAGCTGCACACAAAGCCAGGCAACAAGACGTGAATAACAAACTGCCACGTCAATGGAGAGGTTTTTTGATAGTGTTTGTTAGTCAGGGTTCAGGGTGGTTTTGCATGCACGTGGGTGGTAAGTCCGTTGATGGGAATCTCGTCATAAGCATGGCGAGCGCCGCGTTGGCAGGAAAGCTACCAATACTCAACAATACCCTGTGCCTGCAGGCAAGTCAGCCTTGAGGGCCGCAACCAACTCGCGCGCGTTGATCGCCTGCTGAGGGACACAGAATGACACAGACCAGAAGGTAGTCAATGCTCACAAAAGCAGACAAAAGCCACCCAAGGCCCAAGGCCCAAAGCCCAAGGCCCAAGGCCCAAAGCCCAAGGCCCAAGGCCCCGGCCGCATCGATCCGATCACGGCAGTCCTTGGCGCAGATCTGTCGAAAGCACCCTGCTCTCACAATTTTGGACTCAAGGCGCCAGCATCAAAGCGGACCAGGAGATCTTCTAGGCCAAGACTTTTTCGCAGAAGAGCCTCCACCTGCGTGGCACATCACGTCACGGCACGTCACGTCACGGCACATCCGGCTCAAAGTGACGGTGGTGCCCAAAAGTGAGGCTCCGAACACGTAGTACAAACCACCTTACTCTGGTCCCCAGCCTCTTCGGCCGACAGATTCCACGGATTCCTCGCTGGCAAGTTGGCAGCTGGGGAGTAACCGACTCTCGTGGGCAGCGATTCTCAGGACAGCGCGTAGACGTGTTGGAAGGCTCAAAGGGCTCCAGCCGAATGCGCACCTGGAAAAAAGCAGCATCAACCTGAACTGGCACTGGCTGCACTCGTAGATTCGTGAGTCGTGAGTTGCGGACGCGAAGTGCACAGAAGATCAGTGGAAACTGATTTCGCTTTGGCAGAATCCATCTGTCATCCTGGCTCGTTTCGAGGCACTGAACTTCCTCGTGCTGAGACTTGTTCTGGTTGTACACTCCCGGCCTTGGAGAAGCTGCCCTTCTCCTCATCGTAGCAAATGAACGGAACAATGTCGTCCACTTCGTCCTTCAACGAAACCATGTGAAATCGGCTGCGGTACTTCGGATTCACGAGGAACAAAACTTTGTCTTTCCAACAACTTCGCACCTCTGTAGCAGGCACCTCCTTTTGACCTGCAAAAGTTTTGCTCCGCTGAATACGTGAACCTGGTTGGCATCAAGTGGCTTCAACTCTCTTCCGCCTGCATCAGCTCCATCTTTCAGAGGGTCTGGTGCAGCTACTGGCAATGCCTCCCCGAGCTGCACATAAAAGTCTCGCGGCTAACAGTGGAAGGCAACTTTGCGGTTACACCCCTGAATGCATGTGAAACACGCGGAAAGCCATACTCCTGAACGCTTCTAGGGTGGGTGCTTAGCAGATTCTCGCAGGTGGCTCATGGTGGCTTCAAGGATCCAAGTGACCCCTCACTTCACTTCTCGAGTGGTACACACTGGGCCACACTGGGCGCTGAAAGCAGGATCTGGCCTGCACATCGTTGGTTTCAGGAGCCGCCGCAGCTTCCTCTGCTGCAGCTTCCCCTGCCGCAGCTTCCTCTACCACGGCTTGCTCTGCCTCCGAGATGGCCCGTGATCAAGACTTTGAAAGTTTTTAAAACCTACGTCAGCAACTGCCCAAGCCTTGCAGTGTTAGCAAATCTCAACATCATTGATCTTTGCGAGAACCACGCGGATTTTTTAAGTCTGCATCCCCAAGCGTCCACCAACGCGGTAGGCAGGGCTGGTCAAACAATGTGCTTGTGCCGTCTGGCACGGTGTCCGCTGAAAAGCGAACAGAGACGTAATCGTCAGTGTCCGCACACCATCCTTCAAATCTGTAAAATAACACTCGAAGGATTTTGCTGCCCCTGCGGCAGGAGGCAACTACGCGAGCTGCATGCTAATTATTCAAGAATTAAAGCTCTTGGCCAGCCCAGAGCAGTATCCAATTGTCAAACCGGCAATTGAGGTAGGAGCTTCTAAAGCTGAAGATGTCCCTGTGCACTCAAGGCCTGGACGAAACAAAATGAGCAAGGCGCACGGGAAAAATATCAAAGATAAACTAGTCTACTTCAAGAACTCCTGCCGTTCGGCGGCCCGCGGCCAGTGGGCAGTGAGATACAAGCGGCTAAGGAGAATGACAGGCGCCCCAACGTTCTCCTCCCTCATCAATCTGCACAAGGTGACCATGCCATCCCACGCCTAGCTGTCAGCACTCGTTTGTCGCCTAGCAGAGATGATGTCACTGAAGGTTTCTGGCGCAACTTCAACCTCCTTCCGGAACCGGTTCATGATCTTGAGGTGTCTCTCGTGCAGAATTCGATTTGGCTTGATGGGCACTCCCTTAGGGACGTCTCGGTTCCAAGTTGCGGAGTCCCAAGATGACTCGCACTTCAGAGTCTTCCGAACCTTCCCAGCCTTCCTGCACATTGGTCCAAAAGTGTGGCCTTCTGGTCCAAGTGGTCTAAGCTGCCCATTGGCATCAAGCGGCTCGACAGGAAGTCCTGCGGCACAGCCCATGGCTTCGTTGGATGCTGAAAGTATTTTGAAGATGCCGGGCAGTTCGAGCCAAAGGCTGCGTTCTAGACTGTGACCTTCTTTCCACTCACAAATCAAGCGGCTCACTTTGGTCACTTGGGTCCGGTACACTCTTACTTTCTGGCCTCGTCTTGCTTTGAGCCGTTCAGGTCGGATGGATCCGCCTGGTCAGCCTGGCAACTTCCACATGGGTCCACAACAACAGCCTGGCCTCCGGGCCTTGCCGGCCTTGCCCACACCCATGGCACGGGACAGCTGACTAGCCAGAGACTCATCCTGCGCCAACGGCATTGGTCCAACAAGGTCTACCGGCCTGAGGTCAAAAGCGGCTTTGCCATACTAGACCCTTGTGGAGAGCCTCCACCTCGGCATCTCCCTCCTCAGCACCCTCCGCGCCCTCCATGAAACCGAAAGGGCGCCGAGCAGCGCACCTGACATACCGCGATTGAAAAGAACAACATGCCATGCATGTGCAAAAACATCTACTCTGTGGCCATGCCGTCAAGTTATGCTCGGATGCCCAATGCTTCCGAAAACGATATTTGCCCATGGTGGCGAGCAACACACACACACACCCACACACATACACACATGCACACATACACACATACACACATACACACATACACACATACACACATACGCACATACACACATACACACACATACACACATGCACACATGCACACATACACACATGCACACATGCACACATACGCACACACACACACACACTCTCTTACTTTTATCGCGTGTCGTAGTACAAGCAAGGCGGACAGCTCTCGAACCGACGGACAATGACCTCCTCAATCCGCAACCATCTCGGAGCAAGGTGACGGTTCTTGTCTGTTTGTGTTGGTTGGGGGAGTTGCCAGTATGTCTCTTCTTTGTACCGTGCCTATGCGAAATTGCTTGCTCTGCCTGTGTTACCGAGCATGAACTGCGCAGCTTCTAAGGGCCGGGTCGTCATAACGGGTATCCGTGAGTGTCGTATCATTTTCGGTCTGACTAATAGCCTCTCGGTCTCGTGCACCCAGGCTCGTACAGTTTCAACTAACAATGGTCGCACGAAGAGGGGTTGCAGTCACAAGCTACCATCCGATTCGCCTAGTGGTGAATTGAAGATCGATCTTCAGTCAAGCAATGCTTCTCTGGCCGCTGGATACTTGTTGAGCGAATCAGCTGCGGGGGCTGTCCCATAACATCCCTTATTCATGTCAACAAAAAGCACCACACCACTCGCTGTGTGTTGCTGCGTGTTTTAGGATCCCCCCGAGGGGAACCCAGCCACAACGGCCCATCTTGCGAAATGATCATTCAAAGGGGGCCCCAACACGGTCCGTTTTTCTGCACGATCCACCGCCAAGCCTAGGCAACCCCTCGCTGATCATGATGCGGCACCGGGCCAAGTCGCATCGTTTTCCACCACGACAACCAATCGTGGCGTGGGTTGGAGATCGCCCACGCGCTTCACCTCAACGATCCCACCAGTCCGGACCAGCCCCCCCTTTTTTCGTGAAAAGTTGCAGCTTCATGTGCGTGGGGTTCGGGTCCATGTTGTTTTTTGGGTCCGGGTCGTCACAGAGCTTGCGACTTTGTGGCGGCTGGAGCCATCTGGTGAGCTTATCCCGAAATCGAACCCCATCATTCCCCCCGGAAAAGCTGGAGACTCTCTCTCTATCTCTCTCTCTCTCTCTCGCTGTCTGAGCAGCCTACCGAAACTCTAACACCCTAAACCAACTTTGACATGCAGTGGCTTGGCCGGCGCCCTTGGAAAGGTGTAACAGGGAAAAGCCGTCCTCACCCGACGGCCTCTCAATAAAATCTGCACGGTATGCAAGCAAAGGAGAGCAAAATTCTATCCTGCACCTTAAACCCTAAAGCTTGAATCCGAAACCTCCCTAGACCCGAAGCAGCTCAAGGTGAGCAGCCGTTCATGGTGTCCTGGATAACTTTCAGGCCAACCCTAAGCTCCAAGTCCTCACAGTTCTTATCTTTCTTTTTTGCTTTCGTTGGGGCATGGAAGGATGACACTCTTTCTCTGTCTCTGAGAGAGCAGAACGATAACTTACGCAAGTTGAAACGAGCTTTGACAAGCTTAGAGACACTTTTTCTCATCTTCACCGCGCTTCCGGAGGCGAGAGCTGCACCTCGGAGTCTCTGAGAGTTTCGTTGCTTTCGGTCTTCGTTTGTCAAGCAACAAAGACTCGTCCGAATCATCCGCATCAAGCCAAGCTTCCGACCCAAGCCGAGGGCGAAGCTGCCTTCATGGAGTCCGACTGCCACAAAGACACCTGCTACGTGGTGTTGCCACCGTGGCGGAATGGGAGCAAAGCACACGTTATATGAATTGGGCAAGTCTGAAGGTTAGCCTCGCCGCCATGCAGGCCCCAGGGGTCAAAGATGACGTAGTTGGGTCCTCATCAGGAACCCGTGTTTTGTGTGTGTGCGTCTGTCAGTCAATATATTGAGTAGCTTGAGTATTGTGTCCAAAAGGTCGAGCTTGTTTTGTCAGCTTCGTTTGCTGAGTCTTGGTGCTGAGCGATTGCTAGATGTTCGTGTTTATGTGTGAATCTGTATAGACACACACACGCACACCCACGCACGCACGCACGCACGCACGCACGCATTCTTGTTTAATTCTTACGGACTTGCAATCATGACCTGGTTCTGCAAGTTCATGGCTTGGGCGTCGTGAGTTCTCTGCATGTGAAGAACAAGCGTGCACCATAGCCATAAACTTACAGGTGACCACTAGCAGCAGGATGTGAACTGTTTTGAGGCTTCCTGTGAAACTTGAGAAAGAAAAAACTGTGGACATCTTCACCGTACAAGAAGACACAGCTTGTAGGTCATGGCTTCATGACCTATCGAACTCAATTCTGGTTGCAGAATCCCCAGAGATCACAGCATTCACAAGAAAAGGTGCACCGAAGCAACCTTGGTTTCCAGCTTTCCTCTATGACCGTTGGTCTGCTTCGACTACCCCAAGCTAAGCCACGGTATGGACGACATTGAAAACCATTGAATGACCAGTAAGCATGCATGTCGCATGAAGCCCTGCATTGTGCTGACTCCAGGCAACATTGGCAAAAATCAAAACTAAGAAAAGGTCTGCAAGAAGAGCTTGAAGCGGTTTGGTTTTGTTCGGGTGCATGGCTTAACGTCGATTCGGCCAGTTTAGACGCCACCGAGAAAACTGTCTCTGTTGGACTTGGGATGCGTTTCCTGGTTGATGTTTGATGTTCATGCATCTTTTTCGATCGCTTACTCATTCGTTGATTAGTAAGCCAATATTATTGAAAACAATGTGAACAAGAGCTTCAAGCACTGGTAGTTCTGGGGTTTTTAACTCCCAGAATTGATTGGTTTTAAGTCTTGATGCAGTTGTTTCCTAAAGGTTTAGGGAGACAAGAGAATCTGGAGTCAATGTTTGGTAGTCCTGGGGTTGCTTATACTCCTCCTCAAAGCTTGACAATTGCTTTTTTGAGGGTTTGGGGAGGAAGCGACCAGCTCTGCTGCAAGCCCTCGGCCGACAATTGAATCAAAAGTTGATTGTTTTCGCTGGGCCCAGGGGTTGCTGACTGCATATCGCTGGCTCCGGCCCTACAGTCTTGATTTAAGTGTTGCCGGCTCTGATGCACTTTGGGTTTTCATCCCCTTGCTTCTCGGGAAGTTTCAGGGGCGTTCGTCGAACATGTTGCGCAACTTTGGAGCTACTTTGGAACCGAAAGGGCAGCACCGAAAGCAATTAAATCTGGAGTTAAGCTTTTGTGAAGACCCGAAGAACAAAAAGGATGCACGGCCTAATTACCCAGACCAATACCAAAGACAACGCTTTTCTTATCTCTGGGTTTCCGGACAGAAACACAAGCTACTTGAGAAGGGGCTACGAAAGCTAGTCACCGTAGGGGGGTGGCATGCAGCCTTAAACTCCTTCAGCCCCCTTGCTTCCCCCGCTGGAACCCCGTGTCGCAAACGAAGTTTAGGTACAGGGACGCTCTGTTCAGTACGACCTCTGCAAAGTACCACAGACCTTCAGAGCATGGTGACTGTGGGGGGCGGGGGAGGACCTTGGGGTGGGGTGGGGGGGGACCTTGTGGGGGGGGGGGACCTGAAGGTGGTAGGGGGGGGGCCCCCCCCCCTACCTTATCCCACACGCAACCACCTTAAAGGAGGGGGGGGGGGGGGGGCGCCGGCACCTTATCCTTCGAAAATGCTTCATGGTGAGGTGAGGGGGGGGGGGGGGGGCCCCCCCCCCCAACCCCCACCTTAAGTCTTGGGTTTCGGACCTGTTAAGGTGTGGAACCCTTTTTTTCCCTGGAAGCTTCTTAACAAGGTGAATACCAGTGCATGGGTAAACGACAACTCCCGCCAGCTCCACAGAGCTAGCTTTCGTGATTTCTGGATTCAGCAAATTTCGGAGGCCACTGTAGTTGGGAATTGACACGAAGTACCTATCGCTTGCACTTTCGCGGAACGCTGACGAACAACTACATCTGGAGTTCACCCCTGGAACAACAACCAGTAAGTAGGAAATAGACTTTGGGAACTCGGGGTTCTCGCACACACAAACCTATGCATGGGCTTACTTGGGCAAGCTGCACGGACGGTTATATAATGTTATATAGCTTGCGCGGCACACCCCGCAGCAGCAAGACCTACGCAAACCTTTTGCGTGTGCGAAACATACCCTCTCCAAAGCAAACCTGCGCAAACCTACGTGGCATGAAGCTTGGGCAAGCCGTACTCACACCCCTACACGGTCGAGACGAAAAAGCCCGGGGTGCGCCGCAATGATGTGGACACTCATTCGGACATTTACACATCAGCGAGGAAAATGCTCCTCAAAGCCTTCAAAACCGTTTTGCAGACACTAGAGTTCACTAGAGCATGAAATTCCACCAAACCTCGCAGACACTGATGTTCAGCCGGGTTGACATTACTCGGGCATGTGTCGGGCAGAGGACAAAGCACCTCAAACATGAAGCATGAAGTTAAACCATCTTTGACTCTCAGCAAGCTTTGTGCAAGGGGTCCCAAGAGGTCGCCACCGACAACAAGCACGCAATGACGCCCAACCTGCACAAAGAAAGTCTGAACAAATGGCAGCAGGGGAAACCACTTTCTTCCCATTCCCTGATGTGTGCTTCTCGGTGCCCGCGACATTGGAAAAGAGGAGTGCTTCTTATGCCTCTTCCTCCAGCTCTTCCCCGGTTTGTGGATCTTCTAGCACGCCAACC